AGATTAATTTAAAGTATTCAGATTACAAGTCAGTTCAAATAAATTTAGATTTATATATATTATTTTATCTGTTTAAATTATTTTAGAATATCATAATTATAATTTGAAATGTTATAATTCATTTAGTTTATATGTAATTTACTATATAAAAAGTTAAATATATAATAATTGAATTTGAAATTTTATTTAGCCTAAAATAATTTAAATAATATATATATTTAATTAATTTAAGATTTTTTTAGATTTCAGATCAGATTAGATTAAACAAATAATTTGATATAATCTAATTTGATTTAATTTGAAAAAAAATTTTAGATTAGATTTATTAATTAATCTAATCTGATTTAACTTATTTGAAACTTTACCTAAATAAAATCAAATTAAATAAGAAATTACCAGGTAACTTATATAACTAATAGTCCTATTATTATATATTTCTGATAATATTTATATTGTTTTAATATTATTATTATTAAAGTAATGAATATTAAAGTAAATTTTTATTTATATATTAATCTATATATTATATTATATAATTGTCCAAAGTGTAGCGAAGGACATTAATGGTTAGACACATTGTAATGCAAGGTATATCTATCCATACGCATGATTAACCAATAAGATGTATTATTGATTATTATTACGTGATTAGATTTTTGGTGACGTGCCTGAGCCGTCTGACGGTATGATTTTAAATGAGTGCTTCAGACATTACAATAGATCCCGTTATCTAGTTAATAAAAAGATAATTTTCAATTATATTATAAATAATTGGTAAAGCAAGATTATTATTATTTAATTAAAATAATTCTTATTTATTACTTTGCAATTTAAAGTCTAAAATAAATCCAAATGTTCAGAATTCCATATATTATAAAAAATAAAAGAAGGAAAATTAATATAAAACATTTAAAATCAATATAATTAAAACTTATTCATCATGCAAAAAATAAATACTTATAATATAATTTATTATCTAAGCATATTATTTTCAAAAAAATCTAATTAAAGAAATAAATGATAGCTTGTTTAATGAAAATGAAAAGAAAATTCAGAATAAGTATTAAGATATTTTATATATTTTTTAAGAATTCTTTTTGAAGTATTTAAATTAGAAATAAATTAAATTTGATAGTTATATTAATATAAAGATTAATTATACCTTAAAAAATTGCAGTTTATATAGTTTATATTACAAAATATTATAGCTATTATGAATATTTGTTTTATTAGATTTGTATTATTAATTATTATAACAATAAAATTAAAGTTAAAACCAAAAAATATTTATAAAAAAACAATTAATTTTTTTTTTAAAAAAAAATTTGTAAAATACTTGTAAAATTTACTTTATAAATACTTTATATTAAAATTGAAGTTCCATCCATGATTTACTAATAACCTATATATAATGATAATTTGATATACTGATAAAATAACAGTATTAGTATATAGAAATTTAACTGTATATAATAATTAGTAAAACAATTGCAAAAAACTACTTAAAAAAATATATATATTTAAAAATTAAAAATATTATATACAGTTTATTTTCATTATAATGAATTTCAGTGAACTAAATATTAAAATTTATTATATAGTTAATACTTATTATATAGTAAAGTTTATTATAATAAATTTGGTTTATAATAAATTTTTTTATTCTTTTAGTTTACTTACTAATCATAAATCTTATTCATTATACAGTCAGAACTCGATATACTGATATTCGATATACTGATACATTATTAAAAACTTGATGTACTGATAAAATTTTACATTCCCATTATATGTGAGGACATATAAATATTGGTATAATTTGATATAACAATATTTTTTAAATTTTTTCTTATGAGTCCCAATATATCATTATATAAAAGTTTGACTATAATAAATTTAATACTAGATAAAACTAAAATATTTAGTTATTTAATAAAATTGAAATAGTTTAAATATTTAAAATTAATAGATAAAATGTTAAAATTCAATATTCTATAATATTTTTATGGATTTTTTATAAATTTCCATTTTATTAAAATATAAAAAAATTTATAAAATTATTATATATATATAATATATTTTTATAATAAAACTATAATTTATATAATTAAAATTAAATTAAAAATTATTACTATAAAATTTAATTAATGATAAAACTGAAATTCTGCAAAAAAATTAAAAAAATTTAAAATTAATAAGAGTTTATGCAGGTATCACTATATATAAATTTGAAAGAAAAAAATAAAGATAAATAATAAAAATATACAATTTTAACAGTTTAATTAATAATTTAAATTTAGTTAAAATTTAGATATCACTAGGAATTTAATCATTAATTTAGATTTAGTCAAATATTTAGTCAAGTATAAAATTTAACAAAATATTTAGTTATTGCAAAAACAATTTAGGCAGGCATTATTAATTTCAATATTAGATATAGTAAACTTTTTAAAAATTTTATATAGAACTAAATTTATATTTATTATAATGCTTCTCTAGTATAACCATCAGAAAAAGTTCATATATACATGACTTGTAATTCTAAGGTAGCTATGAAATTTGCAGTATGCAATTATTTTTACTTATTGTTGATCAAACTCAACACTAACTCCAAAGGTGAAAGTTTCATCCTAAACTAACCTTCCTTACCCTAACTTTAAGATACTTTAATGTTAACATTATCTTCAAGGAAAAGTATTTCAGACTAAACTAATTTTTTTTTACTCTAAAATACTAAAATACTCCAACACATTAATTTAAATTAAAAATGATTATTTTGGAAATGTAATGAAATTTATATAGATGTTAATTTATATTTTTTTAAATTATTAAATTAAAATTAATTATTATTTTATTAAAATAGAATGCCCTTTTCTAATGATTTACTTCCTTATTTGACGCATTCTGCTTATCACCTAAAGGCAATTCTCTTGTCACTCGCTCAATATCCTGGTTATCTCTTTTCTTTGACATAAACTTTAATTTATCATGAACTTTCCATCTAAATTCTACACCTCCGAATAATAAATTCAAGTTCTGTACGTTGAAATATCAGAAACCATTTTTTAGCAACGAAGGACTATATAAGTGACGCAAAAAAATGAATTATTCCGGCACGTGACAATTAACCAATCATTATTGCAGATTTTACTGACTTTTAAAAAAAAATTAGGTAACGCATTTCTTTATTAAGTAAAAATCTGTACATAGTACAGTAAAGATTATATATATTGACTTTAATCTTTGAAATTCACATATAACATTATACTTTATATACCTTTAAGTAAACTTGTATTATAATATAACTATGCTTTTTGGAATCAGATACATCTGCTGGTTTGAATGAGGAGCTATCCTAGAAATGTTTTATGTTTACGTAAAATCTACTGCTCCCAGTGAGTTTAAACAAGAAAAAAAAAAATTAAAATATAATTATAACTGTTAACAAATATAGTAACAAATAAGAATTTTCTTTGCGATATCACTTTATTATTCACCTCAAAGATAATACGAAACGTACGATGTGACAATCGGGACATCCAATCGGAATGATCTTTAGTAAAATTTCCGATTTCAGGTGCTCATTTAGTTCATGTTTCCCCAATCACATTATCACCATAATGCAACTATCGGTTTTAACTTTAAACTTTCCATTATATAAAATTTGTGTTACCATACTTTTTAAATCACGGCTAATTAAGTTTAATCTTTGATGTGTTGATCTAGATTTTTCTAATTTCCAATTTCCCAAATTTATCTATCTATACAATTTTGCAAAATTAATTAAATATTTAATTAAAATGATATCTCGTTCTATAATGTTTCTATACTAAACCAAAATAATTAAAAGAACCCAAAAAAATAATCTAAATTTTTTATCATTCCAAAAAAAAAAATATTTTTTTTTTTCTTGCTTTTATAATGTCTATAATTACGCCCAAACTACACAGCCACATAATCGAATAAAAAATAAGCATTCTATTGGAATAATCAATCCCTTTTTTTTCCCAATTGTTAGACACGACGATCCTCACGGAAAATTTAAAGCTGTGATAGATAACATAATCAAAAATGCAAATAATACATTTTGTAGATATCACAATATTATGATTTGCATATTACTATATTACTATCTATACGCCAAAGATATATGTGACACAAAAAAAAAAAAAATCATGTTACAGGCGCAGTAATATTAATCTATGAGTTATTAATCTATATTCCTTCCTATCTGGTAAAATTGGAAGAAATTAATTGGTGTAAATAATATTTGTTATATAGTTTTTTCCTGCCTAAATTTAATCTAAACCTGCATCACTAGCAAAATTTAGCCTGTTTTACAAGTTGCTTGAAATTAGGTAAGTTATACTAAAATTCGTTAATTAATATCATACAATATGTACAATGTATAATTAATAAAAAGTAACATAACTCGACATGATTGTGAACTAGTAATTTTTTATTTTCTATAATTGAACAAAATTTCTTGTTTATATTGCCAAACAAAGTCCTTTCTCATAGTCTGTAATTCCGTCCGACACTCCGCCCCCAAAGTCAGACACAAACAAAAAAACCAAGCCAGACCAAGTTGTCAAATCCCTCGGTTTATTGGTTACTACCCCCCCTTTTCAGTTAATTGTACCGCACTCTTTTTTGTTTTCTTCTCGGGCCTTAAAGCCCTAAAGTTATATTTTCACAAAAGAAATATTGAATATTTTATTACAACAATAAATATAGACTTGGTTTCCAGTTCTTTTATTCTTAATAATTTCTATTTTTTCTTCAACTTTAGCATAAGCTCATAATTTTAGCATATGGCAGCAACAATTCATCTAAACAACCAACAGCTAAATCCTCAACATCCTCAACATCAGCATGTCCAACAACAGTCTGCAAGAAATCGACCGGTGTCAACGCCAGTACCAATAAATTACCCCGGATACCCAGATATACAACACCACCCTCCACCAATACCTCAAAGTTCTGTACGAAGAGGTAACATGTTTGGTCCATACCTTTTGTTACAAACTTTAGGTGAGGGTGAATTTGGTAAAGTAAAACTAGGAATGCATGTTGACACTAACGAAGAGGTAAGATCTCTAAACTTGTTAATATTTGACTGTCAAATTATGAAGTTTAGCCAAGAGGTTAAGCTTTCGTTAAATATGATCTCTTTTTCGCGTTGACTGAATACTTCGTTGTATTCAATCGCGAATGTACTTTTGTATAGCATAAATAAAATTAACGCAATTATTTGTTTTTTTTCTTCCATTAGGTAGCAATTAAACTTATTCGTAAAGAATCTGTGGACACACCATCTAGGCTAACAAAAATTGAGAGAGAGATTGGCGTATTACGGGTATAATTCTCGATTGATTATCTATATATATATAATTTCAGATGGTATTAAACCTGTTTTGTTAAAAATTTTTAGAGCGTAATGCACCCAAATATCGTAAAATTATACGATGTAATTGAGACAGAACGTTATATTGGTATAATTATGGAATACGCATCTGGTAAGTGGCTTGTATTAGATTCGTAAGCGTAACTTTGTGTTACTTTATTGCGTAAAATATTTTATTAATATATTAGCGACTCCGATAATTAGGTGGCGAATTATTTGATCATATATTAGCGCATCGATATCTCAAAGAACGAGACGCATGTCGACTCTTTGCACAACTTATAAGTGGTGTAAATTATTTACATCAAAAAAATATAGTACATCGTGATCTAAAGCTAGTGAGCTATATTATTTCAAATTTGAATTAAATATTTATTATATTGTATATTTTAATCGTTAAAAAATTTTTTGATTTTTTCTAGGAAAATCTCCTGTTAGATCGCAACCGTAATATTATTATTACAGATTTTGGATTCGCAAATCAATTTAACGGAGCACATGACGATTTAATGGCTACATCTTGTGGTAGTCCTTGTTATGCAGCTCCGGAATTGGTAATTAGCGAAGGATTATATGTCGGAAGCGCAGTAGATATTTGGAGTTGTGGTGTAATTCTGGTATTTATTTAACATGTTATCGCATATATTCTCTTTATTTGTGTGGCGCACATGAACATAAATTAATTTAAATTTTCCGGGAAAAATAAACAGTACGCCATGTTATCTGGATATTTGCCATTCGATGACGATCCCTCAAATCCTGATGGGGACAATATAAATTTATTATACAAATATATAATTAATACTCCGTTGGTATTTCCCGATTATGTAAGCCCCGGTGCGAGAGATTTACTTAGAAAAATGTTGGTTCCAGATCCAGCGAAAAGGTGTGACATGAAAACTATCATGTCTCATAAGTAAGTTATTTAAGGATTTATTCATTTAATTTAGGATTATTGATAATTTTTTTGATTTTTTTTTAATAAAAGGTGGTTAGAGCCATACGCGTCTATTTTTGATTGTACCATAAAAGAATTAGAGGTAATTGTTGACTATGGAAATTTTTTTAAATTTATTTTATATTAATTAATTACGCGCGATTATTATTTTCGTAATTAGGCTGCTGCCAATCCTGCATCCTCACTAGCACCACCAGAATCTTATCTCCCTTCGGGGATTTCAACCTCTAATAATTATTTATCGGCTGATTATGTTGACCAACAAAATACTGCTTCCGTTAGTACTGAGCCCACTGTTAAGAGACATACGATCCAGGTAGAATATGATTATCCTGATAATACTGCTGGTTATGTAGATTATCCAGACGAAGATTTCCTATTTGTCGATGGTACACGTCTTGGTGCTAATCCGGTACCTGTAGTCACGTCAGATATGATTTTGCCTCAAGAACAAGAAGAAATTTTACATAACAATCATAAAACAAATTCCAAGAATCATGTCTCTGGAAAATCGCAGAATAATCAGAATATTGAACCTCCTAAGGTTGAAAAACAGCATAATGCAAAACCAATTTCCTCAGATAAAAGCAACAGTACTGCAAACACTCCACCGGAAACTCCACCCACAACTGCAAGAAATTCGGTGAATGCTGGTTCCGGATTATTTACATTATTCGAAAGTGAATCTAATAATGCAGATCAACATGAAGATAAGAAGAAGCATGTTAATAATGTTAATGGAAATCTTACCGTGCCGACGAATGGTCTTTTACAGCCTGTAGAAGCACAAAAGAGCTCGTCTCAAGCTCCTAAAAAACGAGATGCTCCACGTACAAGACCTGTTACTGTTCATGGTCCTCCATCTGGCTCACAAGACTTTATTTCAGTATCGAGGAAAGATTCTAATACTACGAATAACTTCGAAACAACACCATCAAAGCCTAATACATCGTCAGCTTCAAGTATACCACCTTCAATTCCTCTGCCGCCAATTCCAGGTCGTCGGGAATCTTTGCCCCCTGTTATGCCTCCTGCTAATGGCCAAAAAAAACATAAAAGAGGACTTTCATCAGAAAAAATTTTTAAATTTTTAGGTAATCAACAACAAAATGGAAAGGATACAACAACAATATCTGTTGACACTAATACTAAAAAAGAATCTGAAGCTCTTTCACAACCGGCTCAATCGGCTTTAAATAATGATATGCCATCTGATACAGCTTCGGATTCAACGAGTGCAATCGATGATAATAGCGATTCAAAGAGTAAAAGACGTGCTAGCAAGAGAAAAGCTTTAAGTTTAATGGTTGATACGTTAAAGGGACCAGCGGGTCACTCGACGCATAGTGTCGTATCTGGTAGTAATGTGCAAGTGAAAGATAAGAGAAAATCCGTCGCTGGTACATCAGCTGGTAGTTCAAATGCTGCGAAAAAAGTTATGGATTGGTTCAGACGAAAATCTTTGGGTAAGCTGTACATAGTAGCTTTATATAATGAAGTAGCGGAGTATTTTAATAATAATATTTTTTTTTCTTATTTGATTTCTTATATATTAATGTTACCTATTAATCTTTTTTATAGCTAAACAAGATGTTATACTTCACGAGACCGGACATGGGCCAGCCAAAGTTCCTAAAGTTGAGCAAACTGATAATGATAGTCTTTCGCGTCGCTCAAAGAGTAAGACTAAACGTCAAAAGAATAATCCCTCAGTGATTGTAACTCAATCAAATAGCAATACTCCTTCTTCATCACGACAATCTACAATTAAGCCTGTTAATAATAATGTTGATTCAAAACTTCGAGTACATCATGGTGCTGTGGACAACTTGGCTTTGACAGAACGACCACCTTACGAAGTATTTATAGTTGTCAAACAAACTTTAGTTAGTATGGGCATTGAAATTAAGCGTGAAGGAGATTTTAAAGTCAGGTGCATTAGACGCAAACGTAAAGTTATTGAAAATGGCAAGCCGTCTAATAAAGAAACTTCTAGAGGCCAAAAGAATAAAGAGAAAGACAGTTTACCAATCTCAGAAAATCATGAGGGGATCATAGATCTTATAGCTGAGAAGAAAAGGAGAAAATACTCTACAGGTCCCTTAAAAACGCTACTGCGTCGTACGAGTTCCAACAATACAAGTCAATTAGCATCATCTACGTCCACATCAACGACATCACTATCTAATAGTAATAAATCTAATTTACTTACAACTATAACAAGTGATGAGTCACAAACATTATCGGTTCCAATGTCTTCAACAAAAAGTAATAGTGCCAATGGAGGAACACCTTCTGCTCCAAATAGTCCAACTTTTGGTCCTGTTATGACTGTAACTAGTCCAAGTAATGGCACATCTAATAATCATTCTAATTCAATCCTTACTACTCCGGAAGTTTTATACGGTGACTCAACTGTGGATTCTGGTGAAGAAATTCGATTTGCAGTTGAATTGTGTCGTATTAAAAATCTTCCTGGACTATATATTGTTGATATTAAGAGAATGAAGGGTAACCTTTGGGGTTATAAATTTTTGTATCATACACTTCTTGAAAAATTGGATCTGAAAAAAAATGGCGGATATTTGACTATTGGTACAAGTGGAGGATTTATTTCATAAGAAAATCTCATTGGTATAAATAATTACTATTTTAATATATTAAACAAATTATTTTTTGTTTCATAATTTTTTTTTTTTTTGTTTCATTTTTATTTACAAATTCTTTTTTACAATAATATAGTTTTGCCATTAACAAAGTAATTGCTTAATAGTTTCCCTGAATTACAGGTTTTCATTCCATTTTATGGACTGTTTTTTTTTCTTCTTTATATACAGTATATATATATATTTTTAATATTAGTAACAAAAAAAAGTTATATACATATAAATATATAATTTTTTTCGTAATACTTTGATTTCGGAAATTTTTCTTTTATTATTTGTATTGTTATAAAACATTTTAAACTTTTTTTATTAAAAAATATTATCGATATTTTATTAGAACATGAAAATCAATTTTTATCATTTTACAATTTTATATGTGTTATAATACCGAATTCTTGTTTTTAGATAACTCTATTAATTCAGCAATTCCTTGCTCTCTTGAAACTTTACCAATATAATTAAGTTCTTCCCTAGCATTAGTACTATCTAATTGATAATTTCTATATAAACAAACTAAACATTCTCTATTAATACCATCAAAAATCCAAGTTTTACTATAACCAAGAAAAGGTATATACTCAACGCTAGTAATTAAACCCCAAACCAACCATTTTGGAGCTCTAAAATTTTTAAAAGGTCTTGGAGGTTCAATATTATAAGCTGAACCAATGTAAAATACTACAAAATCATCCATTTCAACTTTTCCTTCAGTATCCTCAATTTCATAAATACTTTTTGAATTATTATTTTTTTCCGTAATACAAGAAAGATAAATTGCTTCACAAGCATTTGTAACGTGAGTTATCGATAATGGAAGACTTTGTGGCGTAATTTTCCAAATAGGATTTCTACATAAATTATATAACATTGGTGCCAATACACTATCATCTTTACCCCACAACCAACCCAATCTTAATATAATAATATCTTCAAACGACGATTTCATGATTTCTTTTTCTGAAAGACATTTTGATTTTGAATATGGTGCCCAATCCGGTAATGAATCTATAGGAAAATAATCACTTAAGTGAGCAGCAAAAGAAGAAATATAAACGAATCGAGGTTTATTTGATCTTTGTAACGATTCAATAAGTGAAAGTAAAAGAGCTGTCCCTTGAACATTTATTCTTTCATGTTCTTCGTAATATCCATATGGTTGAACCTATTCGTATTAAAAAAATTCAACGATTATTGTAAATTTTAATAGATAAAAAAGTTACATATGTTTACCTTAGCAGCCATGTGGATTACAACATCTACATCCTCCAATCCTTCTTTCAAAGAGTTTTCATCATTAATATGACCTCGAATTATCCTTATCCTTTCGCGACCTTTCTTGATATTTCCTACGGTTTTCAAGATTACTTCATCGGAAACACTTGAGCGAGATAAAGCATTTATAGTGACATTATCATTTTGTGACAACGCATATTGAATGAAATTGCGTCCTAAATATCCTGAACCTCCAGTTACAAAAAATTTCATCGATTTTTTAGCTAGGAAAAAAGGTTAACGGGGGTAAAAAAATGTATACAAATTTATATTTTGTGGTACCGACCAATTTCATGATCAACAATTTTTTCCCAGGTAAGGATTAGGATTTAGAAATGGAATAATCCCAATTTTCTCGTGATATGGTTATATAATCTCTTTTTTACTGTAATTGTCATAACGTCATTCTGATATTTTCACGTATTAAGTAATAATAAATATTCGTCATTAATAAGTCATAAATTTCTTTTATTGACGGAATTATGATAAAACATAACCACATAATTTTTACGACATTATGATGAATTATTATATATAAGAAAAATATATATATAAATGTATGAAATCAACCTTTTTTTCACTCAATTTATTTACTTAACATTTTACAAAATGAAAATTACACGACGAATCTTTATACTTTTCCTACTTTTTGTTGTAGCGTTCGCTTCAACAAGTTATGGTATGTTTAATTTTTGTGTATGAATCACAAAAACCTTCTTCATGAATCTAAATCGAAAAAAAATTTTTAATAAAAAAATAGTTCCAAACGATCCATCAACTTGGACTCCGAATGAATTGAAAGAATGGTTAGCAGAGCATCGAGTATCCTATAAGGGAATTCCTGATAAACAGGAGTTGTTGAATCTAGTAAAGACTAATTGGCAAGATGTTAAAGAACAAGCAAATTCTACGACCGAAGCTGTTGAATCTTTTGTTACAAAATATGTTAATACGATAAAAGACAGTAAGCATCATAAAATTATGTTTACTGCGCCACTTCTTTTCTCTGATATATTTTTTTCAATTTAGCCTATTATAATACGGACGAACAAGAAAAATACGACGAGTTTGTACAACAAGTAGCTGATCAAATTGAATCTATCCGACAAACTACTGGTCTTACTGAAGAACAAACTCAATCTACTATTAGCGAGGTTATTAAAAGATTAAAAGGAACAAAAGCCGAAGGCAGTAAGACCCTAACTAATGCTTTAAATGACATTCAAAAATCCTACACAATGGCTCAAGCCAAAAGAGATGTTCTTATCCAAAAAACTGTAAATCGTGTACAAGACGACATTCAAAAAACTGGAGAAATTTCCCTAGATACTTTAAATTGGTTTAAGGATGAAATTAACCAAATGAGTGAAGCAGGAGCCTTTGCCAAGGCACGAACTGAAACACAAATCTCCTTAATATTACAGGGAGTTCAAGAAACATTAACAAAACGTAAAGCGTATACAGTTGAACAAATTAATGCCACCTATGAAAAATTAAATTCGATTACCCTTAAGGGTACTTTGGAAAGATTACGTCATCAACTATCTACCGTTAATAACCAGATTCAAAATTCTGTTGATGCTATTGGACAAAAACTCACAGACGGCAAAGACTTGACTGTTGAACAACTTAATCAAATTAGATCGTCTATCAACCATTATTTCACTTCGGTAAAAGATTATTACAATACTGCTACCGGGCAAGTAAAACAAACAGTTTATGATACAAAAAGGGCTCAAGAAGAACGTATTAACAAAATTATTGAAGTCGTTCGCTCTTCTATTAATGATGCCAGAACAAAGAGCAATCAAAAAGTTACTGCCATTTTACAACAAATAGAGGATAATGTATCATCCACTCAACAACTAACTGCAGAACAGACAAAGATTTTATCAGAAACCATCCAGGAGAAGCTTGGAGGTTTGACGGATGCCCGTGACCTTAACGAGGAAAAAGTTGAATCCTTTACTGACGCATTAAGAACTCGAATGGCTGCCGTCCGTGATTATGCAGCTGATACTTATGACTCTGCTACTCAAAAGGTTGAAGAAGGATATAATGTTGCTTATAATAAGGTTTCTAGCGGTGCTGAGAGTGTTGGTGAGAGTTATGAACAGATGAAGGAACATTTGACTCATCAGAAAGAAGAATTATAAATAATATTATAATAGTTAACATAAATTCATTTATTTGAGGACATTTAAAAAAAATTTCAATTATTTAAAAATTTTAAATATGTTTACATATATTTTTCATTTTTTTATTAAATTAAAAATAAAGATTTTTATGTAAATTTCGATTATAAAAATCTTATTGTGACGCAGTAAATCATTTTTTAAATTGCCGCAATTTTTACTTTGCCATATGTGATGTTCATAATTAAAAAGCCATAATTTCCTTGATTTTCCTAGCCCATCATTCGAAATTTTGAAGCTGATATCAAGCGATCGAATCCGACAGTGAAAATTCACTGCGCCGCGCGCCTCGTGGCAGGTGCGGGTGAGATCCAGCCGAAAATTGCCATACTAAAGTTGACTTTAATTAAAATAATAAGCCATTTTTGTCCAAATTTAGCTTTTTCAGCCTCATTTGATACAACTTTTTTGATTTTTAGGTTAGGCTTTAACAAATATCAAGCCTCGATCAATTGTTTTTTTTATTCAACTTAGCCCACAAAACCATAGTCTATAACAAGTTTTCCTTGAGAAATAAAATCAAAAGAACGACTTACAATTTCTCTTTTTTTTTTTTGATTTAGTAAAATTTCAATGATATGTTTCTGAATTTTTTTTTTAGTTTTTAAATTACAAAGAATCTAAATATGAGGTTAATGAAAATTATAGTGTTTTCGTTTCTCTGAAACAAAAAACCGCAGTAAAAATGCGACACACTGCCATGCGTGGCGAAGTTTGGCGAAGTTTTTAATAAAGTTCAAATATTTAATCAACCAATCATCGTCGACCACATTTCACTTGTTATAAATGTTAGTTATTATAATACCAATCAAAGTTAGACACATTTTAAACCTAAAATTAATTAACCAATTAAAATCGCAATTGAAAATTTGGGCCTCATTTAAAAGCCACATTTATTCAGCCTTCACAAAAAATTTTTATTAATACATCTTTTTCTCTCATCCATCCATTGTTAGAAAATTTTAACTTTTTGTAAAAAAAAAAAAAAAAAAACCTTATTACCTAAACTTACTTGAAACTGGCTCAAGCTGTATCAATAATTAAAAATACGTATACAGGTCACCATGTCCTCAAATAACTCTAGCTCTGAAAAATGTAATATCACCTCACATACTTGGAATAGTGAGGACATGGTGACCTCAAACATATCAGGCGAAACAGGTATTTCGCAACTTATGGGAACGGCTTCTACATTTATTTATCCTACAAATTTGTCGGCTTCCGCCCACGAATTAAAGAATACTTCAGAATCACAACAATCCAATATCGTTCCCGTACCGCAAAATAGTATTTTTACATATCAGGATTTCATTAGTGTAGAAGAGTTGCGTAAACTTGCGGAAGTTAGTAATATTTATTCTTCGACACCAAATTCTTCACTACCGGTAATCAACCACGCTCCTGTTACACCTGTGAAACCAATTCAACCAGCCTTATTTAATTCATCCGTTTCGTCGCCTCGTTCTGATGAAGTTGATGGTTCAGAACATTCATCATCTCCTGCTGCCAATGAAGAAGACAGTAATAAAAAGAAAGCAACGGGGGGTCGAAAGAGGAAAGCCGAAAGTTTAGAAGAAAAAGAGCAAAGACAGCGTGAAAGGTATTGATCCAATGTGGAAAATATATGTATTTTTAAGCTTTTTTTCCTTTTTACTTAGTTTCAACAAAATTTTAGAATACTTCGAAATCGTCATGCTGCTCAAATGTCACGTGACAAGAAACGACGGCAAATGGCAGACCTTGAATCTCAAAATGTTCTTCTTAAAGAAGAAAACACCCACCTTTCGAAACGATTGAAAATTGTTGAAGAAGAAAATATGGCCTTATCCGCTAAGCTTGATACAATTTCAGCACAGCTTGCCGAAATCCAGTCACATATTACCGTATCCGAGATGACCAAAGTCCTACTTGATGGTGTTCGCGGATCAGCAGCATCCGCGACCTTGGAATCCGACTCTCTTGCGTTGAATGATGGTAAGGAAGAAAACACATCTTTTAACGACATTCAGAATGAGATACTAGAATCTTCCTCTAGGTACGTCTCCAATGCAAGAGAGTCCTCCAAGAAGTCCCAGCAGCGGCACGTCAAGATGTGGAACCTTTACGGGACGTTGTCACAAATCCATTCTTTCCCGATTTGGAAGCTTCCAACACAAATACTGAAGCAACTATTGTTGACCTTCTCGATAGTTTTTTGGACTACGATTGGTCAACGGAAGAATTCTCTTCTATTGGGCAATCGGATGGTATTTGCTGACGACGTTGTCATCTTGGAACTCACCCATCGTTTCAAAAAGAAACGAAGGATGAGATCCGTAAAGGCTCTGCGTGGGAGCGCTTCAAGACTGAAGCGTGTTCCACGTGATTGGAGGAAATATCCACCATAACATCTACTGAACTTTTTTCTATAATAATTTAGTTTGTGCACTAGAAAACCTACGAATGGCCAAAATACACCTAAAAATCAATGAATGACAAGAAATTTCTATAGTGTAGATTCCATGTTATTTATCAACGGCTTTTTATTATTTCACTATTTGTTAGTGGATAAGAGTTTTTTATTGCTTTGAATATTTTTTTATTTTATTTTATTTTATTTTATTTTTTTGTTACTTTTTCTCTTATCTATTTTTTTTTCTTGTACTCTAAATTTTTTTTTACTAAATCATTGCTTTAAATACTCTACTATCCCCTTAACAATTTTTTCGCTTGTTTGTAAATTCAATTTATAGTTATATAAAATATTTATTATAAATAAAAAAAATATATAATTTTAATAAACTTAAAAAGTTTGGTCATGTTTTTTCATGAGTTTACAGTAAAAAAATTTCAAATTATAAAATTATGAACATATAAATGATTCCTTAACATCTTACAATTATGTTACATATAAAATCTATAATACAAATCTAATAAATATGTATACAATAACTTCAATCAAATATTTTTTTTTTTTTTTTTTAAATTATTATTCGAATTATTATATAAGAAGTGAATCTATATTAATTTCACCTGTAGAAGTAGTTGTGGCTAATGAAGGGGTAAAAGTTGTAGGAGTAGTACCTTCAATCGCTGAATTCATAACATTTCCATTGATGTCAGTCCAATGTTTTATAGGACGATTTAATGGAAATACTCTACCTGTCGTGGACCAATCCAATGACATATCAATCATTGGATATCCATCATAAACTAGTGTAGTTGGCGCATTATATGTTGTTAAATCTTGTGAAAAATAATCATACGAATTATCTTGATTTGAATTATTTGAATTATCATTTTCTTTTTTCATTAAACGTAACATACTAGGTGAAAAAGGACCGGGTGAACGAAGGAAACTAGTCCAAGAATCTCCCATAATTGTTGTATCGTTATACCAACGTGGTGATAATAATTGTTCGGGTATAATAATATTATCAAGGTTGGTTGTTGATGATGATGATGTTGTTGTTGTTGTTGTTGTTGATCCAATTAAAGAATTGTTATTACTAACCCGGTTCAAATAACTTTTAAATCCTGTGTTGATAGAAATTTCTTCTCCTTGTTCTGAATTATTTCCTTTATTATATTGCGTATCTAGAACCTTTCTCATCTCCTTGACAATAAGTAATAATTTAGACGCAATTGCCCAATAAGGTTCCATTAACTTTATAAATTGTTCATTTATAGATAAATTCTTTTTAGCATCTTCTGCAATATTAATATCTTCACTATAAATGTTATTGAGATGAATAGTTGTGGTAACAAATACAGGATATAAAGCAAATGAACATATATGACATCCATAACGAACAATATCTTCTGCTATGGAAGAGATTACCTTTGACGCAGTACAACATCTCTTGGCTGACGCTTGCATAAAATTTATATGGCAATCCATTACTTCATTATTTTGAAGGGAAATAAGATTTGGTCGATTTAATACTACAATAGCTGAATAATAAAGTAAATGAACCAACGTGAACGTTGTTCCCGTTCCATCAGCCATTAATTGTTGCATTCTTTCCCTGGTATAAGTATAATGAGGCGTTAATGATTTGTACCATGTATCCAATTCATTTTCTAATTCAGCAAATTTGGAATTGGAATCCCAAGGTGGCAATGCATCATATGGTTTTGATCTATTAACATGTTGACAAACGCGTCCAAGTAAAGCTGTAACACTAACAAGACATGCACCCATTCCTATATTTGTAAGGGATAAACGAGTACCACGTTTAATATGATCTTCTTTGAAGATTTCATCAATTAATGGACTTTCAAAGGGATGTTCTAAATTCCAGATTGTTTCATTACAAGGTAATCTCACGTCACAATCATCCTCATCGATTAATGTTGGTCGACCAAGTGCACAAGCTGCAAGTCTGTCAAGTCGGAAACAAGCCCAAAATGTACGTCTTCTAACCTCATTTTGAATGAAAATTCCTTCAGAATTTGGTTTGGATCCTGCTTCATCTACTTTATGAAGACCCAACTCTTGAGCCATTCTTACTGCTAATCCTGTGTACATCCATGCACTTGGTCCTTTACCTACACCGTACATGTGTGTAGTTATTAATATCAAACCTGCAATGGTAAGAATATAAAAAAAAGAAAATTTTTTAAGTTAATATAATATATTAAAATTAAAAAAAAAATCAAATAATTAATAAAAACCTTGAACATTTTCAACGGAAGGATTATCAAACGTCCCAAATAAATATTTGGTTATAGCAATAGCTGCAAAAGGTTCGCCGGACATATAAGGAAGTTTCTGAACGATAGATTGATGTTCAGAATATCTGGGTTTATTAATTTATTATGAAGAAATTATATAAAATATTAGTTTTTTAAATAAAGAATGAAACTACTTAATAAACCAATTTAAAAAAAATTTACTTTGCTGTTACAGCACATATTGCATATATTAAAAAAGGAGAAATTTTATTCTGTCTTAATTGTCTCATAAAAGTGGCCTCGTGAAACATCGACGTTTGAATATCTATATGACGAAAGTAACAAGCGACAAGATGTTCAACAATATCTTCCGGTGGCAATCCATTATTTCTATTACTAACAATAGAAGTTATTGGTGAATATATCGGAATATTTTCAGCCGAATTACTAAACTCAGTCGGAGATGAATGTTCATTAATTTCCGAAGGTTCGGATTTTATAGGTGGATCTCGATCACAATGGACAAAAGCTTCTCTTTGATTAACATATCCTGGAGCTGCTGCTGAATTTCCGAAAAATATAAGGTCTTCTTCTTCTTCTTCCTCCTCCTCCTCCTCTTCATTTGTTATATTGTTTGAACTATCTATGTTTGAAGTTTGTTTTTGTTGAGAATGCTGCTGCTGTTGTTCCGTTTGTGGTGGTTGGGAAAAAATATTAATAAATTCTGTTTGACTACTAAATGATTGTTGTGAATGTCGTTCATTATAAGGATTAACAGGAATATTTGAATTATCGGTTTCGGTATTCTTTGAATCTAACCGTGGTTTCTTTATTGGTTTTTTATCTTCAGGGGTATCAACAATTCCTTGTTCTTTAAGTGGTTGTAAAAGTTTTTCCATTTGTTGGAGACGTTTCTCCAAACTTTCCACGAGGCCAACTCTAGGGCCTCTTTTACGTGTACTAGGTAGGTAGGTACATGTTGTACCAAGTCGCGTACAATTATTGCATGAAGGCTTGTCACCACTACATTTAACTTTTTTCTTTCGACACGCGTCACATGCTTGAGTCAAACGTTTTCTTTTTATGGCTTGTCCTTCAAGGTTATTTGCAGATACTAAATTATCAGTATCTATATCGGAGGTTATGAATGTGGGAGGGTCCATCGATTATAATCTGATATAAAATAGTATAATATTATAATATTACTATGTAGGTAATAATCGAAAGAATATCGTCATATGCAGGATATTACAAAAACGAAATATCCCGGTTCCCAGAAAATAAAAAAAAAAACATTATTTACCACGTAAATAAAAAAAGGCCAGTGAACGACAAACGGGATACCTAATTTGTTAAAGTTTAATAATTCCTTCTTTTACTACACAGTACAACGAACAGGATAATAATTTATTATAAGCCGACTATCATAGAGAAAAATTTTTTAAAAAATTTGAGGATGCGGAAACGGAGAAAACAATACCGATGTCCTTGAAAGGGGGTATATTTATACTTAATATCATGATATAATATTATAACGGTGAATTAAACGTTCCGTATTTCCGTAATATATTTAGTAATCAAAATATACCAAATATGTATTGATCGAAGTTGTACGATTACAAATACAATTATTTTTTTTTAGATCCCACGGATCTTCCGCATGGCAAAAATTTGTATTGTATAATGATAGCCCGTAATAAGTAATATTAATTAAATATTCTTTGTTGTTATATCATAAAAGTTATAATCAATTACTTCTTCTTTTCGAATTCTTGGCTGTATAGAAACATGTAGAATATCGATTAATAATGTATTTGATTTTACGTACTTACATACTTTATTACATCATAAATTAATTTGACCTATTATGTGAATCATTTTTTTTTTAAAAAAAAAAAAAAAGAAAAATCGTATGTTTAGGTTAGTAGAATAACTTATCAATCCGTTGTTTTTTCTTGATATGTAAATTTGTGGAATATTTCTGGTTATAAAAACTCCAAGATTCCAAAAAGTTAATAATATATTCACATGTATCATTCAATCATTGCACACCAAATTAATCATTGTTTTATTTAAATACGTGAGAAAAGAACCAATAAATAGTACAAGAATAAAAATAAATTTACCTGTTACCTTTTCTGTGATGATCTGATCAGTTATTACAGGAAATTCCGTCTATATCCAAAAGATCAAATAATAAATTTATATTAATATGTAAGACTAAATTTTTAAAGTATTACGTATAAAAAAAAAAATTTGTTATATCGTTTATTATTATTATTTAAATCTATTACTATTATACAATGGTCATTAACTTAAAGTCATATGACTTATTTTATGATGATTATATAAAAAAGTTCGAAATTTTATATTACTATAATTGAGAATTATCAGCTTCGAGTTGAAAGTCATTCTTTCGATATGGAATCAAATGAACCATCACTTGATTATTTAGGTACATTAAGGATTTAAGGTATAGAAGTAAAAGCTGAAAGAGGAAGCCTCGTAAACGGAATGATTCTTTTTTCGATGGTTTTTGTATATACGAAATACAAATAATCCATAAAGTACGGACTCTATTCATTGTCAATCTCTTTGTTTCTGTTGCACTTCATTTTTTTGGGTCGATTATTATTTAGTCAATTGAACTATCTTCATTCATCATCTTCAGACGGTTCAGCAAAGGCCTTTACAACAAAATACCTAAATAGATCGCCTAAATAATTTTTCAAAAAGGATAACAATATCTTTTGAGAATAAGTTTATCATAAAAAAAAAAAAAAACNATTATTATTTAAATCTATTACTATTATACAATGGTCATTAACTTAAAGTCATATGACTTATTTTATGATGATTATATAAAAAAGTTCGAAATTTTTCGGTTTAAAAAATAAAAAAAAAAAAATATTAAATATTAAAAAAATCCAAAAAAAAAAAAAAAAAACCAAAAAAAAAAAATATATATATATATTTATATATTATACACAAAATATATACAAATATATATATACATATATTTAATAAGAGGTTCCAAAATAATAATGCATGTAATACAAGTAAAAAATATATTTTATCGATTATTCATATCTCAAGATACTACAAGTCACGCTTAACAAGAAAGAAAAAAAATTGGCATCCTTTTTTTTACTGTTCTTGCTAGTACTAGATATATCTGTATATATGTGCAATTTCTTATTTAAAAAATCTCACATACAATACATTTCTAATAAATTAATGCGCATTATTTTCAGCACCGTCGCTTGTTAATGCGGTACTGGTTCCATTTTGTTCACTTGAGGTTTGTTCTACCGGAACCTTAATTGTGGAAGTGTTGTTCGTACCCATTTGCCAGGGCGGAATTGATGGTCGACTTGTCGTCACTCCAGGAAAAGGTGACGAAACGGGCGGTATTATTGTATTATACATGGGTGATGTTGTTAGTGATGTTGGTGAAGCTAATGTCTCGGTTGTAGTTGTTCCAATTGTTGAGTTGGGTCTTCGATTAAGAAGAAGAGATTTTAACGATTTAAGTTCTTGTTGTAATTCTGAAAGTGATTGACTCTGCGAATCCTTGGATTTTTCAAGAAGCTAATTGACAATAAAAATGTTAAAATTGCCCATTTATTTAAAATAATTTTCCTTTATAAAGGTGTAATACCTTTGGTATCAATTCTCTGATAGCATCTACTTCTTCTTTTAAAATTTTCATATCAGCTTCCCTTTTTACTTCTTGTTGTTTAATATCATTCATCATCTTATCTAGCGTCTCTAATGACTCTTTCATTCTATATGCTTGTTCTTCAATAGTTTTTTTGGCAATTTGTGTATCGGATTTTACAATATCAAGTGTCTCAGAAGCGGCTGTAAATTGGTCATTAAGTGCTTGCTTATCCCGTTCAAGTTCATTCGCTGTAGGTGTTTTTAATAAAGGTAATATATATCTCTATATAATCAAGTGTTAAAGTATTAGATTTTAAATATATAAATTAATTATACACAATTCCATGAAAGTAAATAAAAAAAAAAAAATTAATATAACCTTCGCGACTTCCACTATTGCATATCCAATACCTCCAATCAAAACTGCAGCGATAAAAAAATCTCGCCAATCCATTCTTGAAACTGGTGGTGGTTGCGCAATAACAACTTGATTGGATGGTGGAGGCGGTGCTGCAACGCTCGGTGAGCCACCCTTTACTAGTCTCATTGCTTCTTCTATTTCATCTGAAGTTAACCCTTTGGATTCTAGAAAAGCTACACGCTTTTGTAGCGGAGAGTTCTGAACTTGTGGATCTTTAAGAAAATTAATTGCTGATTGCACTAGTTCTTGTCTAATAGCAGACATTATTAGTTAAATTTTTTAAAAATTATAAAAAAAAAAAAATTTACAAATAATTATGGATAATAAAATAAAGAAATCAATAATATAAAATAATCTTTGAACGATATTTTCAAGAGATTATTGTAATCTTTTGCCGACATGCCGGCATGCATATCTACTGTTAATAAATAGGTAATGATCGACAGACATCGTCAGTATTTATAATATTTTTTTGATTATCATTTTTATTTTAAAAAAAACGAGAATTCAAAAAATGTCCGATGTATCAATCGAACTCACTCCAAGTAGTCCTTATAGATTTCAAGCAGAAACGATAGGTTCTACTAGCTCACCACAAATAAGAATTAAAAAACCTTTGCTAATTCCAGCTCAAACATCGAATGCGGTTTCTAGTAGTAGTCGTACGAAACATACACAGCCTTTACGAACAACAAAAACATCGCAGAAATTAGTTTTATTACCCGAAGAAGAAATCATACCAGCTTCAAATGACGAGGCTTCTGAAGATGAGATGCCTGTAGCTGAAAGATTGACGAAGGAAGTTAGGGATAATAAACATTATCCTAGGTAAAAATTTGTTCAAATTCTATTATTGTTTATTTTAATGAATTTGTTTTTATTTAAAGGATTTGATCATAAATATTTTATTTTTAAGAGTAACAGCATATTGCATTGCAGAAGGCTTTTATCTTGGAATTTTGATGGAATTCCTTAGAAAAGAGCATAATGTTCAACCGAAGTATTTATAATATAACATTTTTATTTGTTTCTATAAAATAATTTTATAATATATAATATTTTTTTTTAGGTTTTATGATGAATGCTTATATTCACCATATCATTTTCCTTTAGTTTCTGGAGAAAATACCGAAATCGCGTCATCGTTTGCCGTACAGTCTCCGAATGGACATACATTCATTGATAGGCAGATTGAGAATTATGAAAATAATAATGATATATCTCAGTATTTTTCAATGGACGAAAATCTTGAAGAACGTTCTGGAGCAGATGCGTTTACAACAAAGCCTATAGATCCTTTAACTAATCTTGGTGAAGTTTTTTACTTTGATTATGGAGTTGCAGTGATTTGGAATTTTACGGAAGAACAAGAACACTCGTTACTTAATGATATTGCTAGATCTGGAGTTGCGGTTCGTCCTCTAAGAAAGGACGACTTGGAAGTTGAAACATTTCATTTTCAATATGATATTGAATCTAATAGACAGCCTAGGATATTTAATGACATGATAACATTAAAGACTGATCATCATATGATCAAATTGACGATTAGTCATGCAATAAGTCAAAGCACAAAATTATCTTTATATGAATGGCAAATGGATAACACTATCGAGAGAACCAAGCTTATACCTAAAATGTTGGCACAAACCGGAAGATTAAATTTGTAAGTTTAGACTATTATTGTTTATGATTATCGTTAATGAAGAATTATAAATTTATGATATTCAGAGATCGAGTTCAAGTTACGAAGTTAAGTGGAGGATTGTTCAAGTTACGTATGGATGTAAATTTAGTATCAAATGTGTTAGGTGAGCTCATTTCTAGGCCCAATCACGTGATAAATTCGGCGCAAGATTTGTAGCCACGTGATCGTGATTTTTTCGGTGTCTTTGAACTTAACATGTTAAATTTGCATTTATATAGATACTCCGGAAATATTTTGGTCCGAACCATCCCTAGAACCATTATATAATGCTATTAGATGTATTTGTTATTTTTATAAATTTATTTTGGTTCTTTTAAAAATCTAATTAATACTTACGGATTTTTGTTCTTGAATTAGCTTATCTTGAAATACCTCAACGCGTAAAACTTTTAAATGAACGATGTAGTATCATCAGTGACTTATTAGATATGTTGCGTGAGGATATTGGTAATTCAAATATGACCAGAATTACATGGATTATTATTTGGCTGATCGTTATTGCGGTTTTCGTTGCTATTGTATGTATTGTTAAAGATGATTTCTATCAAGAATTATAATATTAATTCTCTTTTTTTTTTACTTTTTTTATTGTAGGGTGAAATTGCCGTAAAAGCTTTAAATAACTATGGATAAATAATTTAATTTGTAATTAATTCTATATAATTGATATGTATTCTATAAAAAAAATTATACATAGTAGGTGTGTTTATATTTACTACTACTTTTTTATGATAATTACAATTGGAAACTTTTAATATCAACGGTAATATTAATTCAAAAGCCAGAATTTTAACTAAAATTAATTATTTTTCTTTCATTTTAATCCATCATCTATAATCGCTCTTATAATTAAATTATTTATAATCTAAATTCTATAAAGTTTTAATAATGAGCCATTATGCCCTAAAAACTCGGATTATTTTGATGATTGTCTCTCTACAAATTGGACATTCATTTTTAGTTTCCTCCAGTTTCTTTCCACAATCCAAGCAAGTGCACATATGTCCTAAATATATAATAAAAAAAATAAATTTTTACGATTCACATATTACATTTTTTAATATTTTTCAACTTACCACAATCCATAAATAAACAGTTTGATTGTGCATCACAACAAATTCTACATAATCCATCATCAGAAATTTCACCTGCTTTACTTGACATCTCATGCTTTGCCCACTTAATCAAAATTTCCATGCGTTCAATTAACTCATATTTTTCAACCATTTTGGAGTAATCAATACAATTTTCTTTGAGAATTCCTTTAATAGTCTTAACAGATAATTGGGATACATCCACTTTATCTCTAATAATAGTTTGGAGTGAGATTGGGGCTGTATGAGAAGGATTTTGTGATTGTTTATGATTTTGTTGACGTTGTGGTAAAGGTTGTTGGGGTTGAGGTTGAGATCGAGGTTGAGATTGAGGTTGAGGTCGAGATCGAGGCTGAGGTTGAGGTTGAGGTTGAGGTTGAGGTTGAGGTTGAGGTTGAAATTGGGGTTGAGTTTGAGGTTGAGGTTGAGGTTGAAATTGGGGTTGAGGTTGAGGTTGAGATTGAGGTTGAGGTTGAGGTTGGGATCGAGGATGGGATCGAGATTGAGGATGAGGTTGAGATCGAGATTGAGAATGAGGTACTGTATGAGATCTTGTATAACCAGTATTGTTTTGAGTTTCGGTACGAGCACTTGGTTGAGTGTCAGACGCTGCTAAATTAAAATTGTAATAATCGATTGCTATAAAAATTGAATTCCATAAATATCAATTTCTCCAAATGGCAAACCAATCTTACCAGCTACATGAAATGTTGGATAATGATCTCGATAATAAACTTCATAACGTTCTTCCAATGGTATATGTGCCATGATAACATCAATTAAATCATCTTTTTCAATAATATTATGACATGGGAGATTATATGCCGAAATATATTCTCGCAGCGTTTTGGTTGGTAATCTGGCAAGTTGTGATCGATTCATTTTCATTACTATATAAATATTAAAATAAATATTTAGTCTTTAAAAATCAATTATATACCTTTAATAGCACGTAATTAGTTAGTTTACCTTTCAAATAACTATAACACAGATCACAAGTACGCACGGGTCTGGCATCATTTTTTTTTTTTATTAAAAACTGAAAAAACGTTTAAATTATATTAGACGTGAAAGAATCACTTACTCGAAATAACCAAATTTTGGTATTTCAGTTCCATTACTAGAACAACGTCCGCAAGTTACATTACCTATAAATAAAATAATAATTAGTTAATGATTCATGTAAAAAGACCATAAGAATTTGAATAATTACCACAATTATAACAGTTATATTTTGGACGGAACAAGCGAAATGTGATACCACAAGAAGAACAGCAAGAAGCTACGTTTAGTGGCTTAAGTTTCGGGATGGAGTGAGTTAGAGGTTCATGGTAAGTTGTTCCAGGGCTTCGAACGTAATCTTGAAAATATGACATTAGTAAAAATAAATTTACGTAATTTTAAAGTTGCTGTATATTAATATTAATAAGGTTAATAGTCAATTTGGTAACACAAACAAATATGATGCACTTTTATTTGTTTCTAAAATAAAATTGTCTTGTGTAGCAGAAAAAAAATATTTATGTAGATCACAAATGTAAAAATTAATTTTCTTTTATTCCGTTTCTATAATGGCAGATTGGCAAGATCGTGAGCATCCTGATACTATTGTTTTGTTTGATGTGGATGGTACTTTGACTCCAGCTCGTAGGGTTAGTTAAATTCCTTTTTTAAAAAAATTAAATTCATTAGTTAAAGGCTAGTTTATTTTAATTACAGGACGTGACACCCGAAGTCACAGAAATACTTAAAGCTTTGAAAAAGAAGGTTGTTATTGGTTTCGTTGGCGGTTCTGATATTTCGAAGCAATTAGAACAACTTGGCCCAAATTGTATGTAGAAATATTTTATTTTTTTTTCTCCAAATAATTGGAATTAATTAACTTTCTTAATAGGTATTAATGAATTCGATTTTGCATTCTCGGAAAATGGACTTACGGCTTATAGATCAGGAAAACAGCTTGCATCTCAAGTATAATGTCGAAAATTTCAAATGATTGAATTCATTATGTTTAAATAATTACTATGTACATATTTCTTTTAGAGTTTTATTGAATGGATAGGCGAAGAAAAATATACTAAGTTGGTCAATTTCATTTTGAAGTACATCGCCGATCTTGATCTTCCAAAAAAACGGTAAGATGGGATTAACAAATATTTATTAAATGAAGTTCAATATCTTCAGTTTATAAATTTACTTTTGTTTAGTGGATGTTTCGTAGAATTCAGAAATGGAATGATAAATGTTTCACCAATTGGAAGAAACTGCAGGTTGGGAAAATCATTTTTAAAAGAATTTGAAAGAAATTATATATATTGATAAAGTATCTTATTTTCCTCTTTTTTATAGTATGAAAGAACGGGCCGAATTCGAGGCGTATGACAAAATTCATAATATCCGAACTAAATTCGTATTAGCGTTGAAAAATGCTTTCTCCGATTATTCTTTGACATTTTCAATTGGTATACAATCAAATGAAAAAAAATAAAATCTTTTATTATTTTTTTTATTTTTTTATTAATTCTTTATTCAAAATAAAAGGAGGACAAATATCTTTCGACGTGTTCCCTACTGGATGGGATAAAACTTATTGTCTCAAACATATTGAAGCTGAAGGATTTAAAACAATTCACTTTTTTGGTGATAAAACTTATGAGGTAAAAGAATTGCTGATGTTTACTTTAAAAGTTTTAAATAATTTGTAAATTTATGAACTTTTATTTCGCAGGGAGGAAACGATTATGAAATTTATACTCATCCTAAAGTTACAGGACATTCTGTTAATAATCCTGGTGAAACCGTAAAGAAATTAAAAGAAATATTTAATATCTAATAGAAGATAATTTAATAAGTTTATAAGGAAAAATTTTTAGGATATCAGAATTAAATTAATAATAGAAAAATTTTAATTAATTTAAATTTTTCTAATCTTTTAATGATACATTTTATTTAATATGTCGCTTAATCTTTTCTTACATTTTATTCTGAAGATTATATTTTAATGCACTGTTGCCAAGTATGAGTCAACTAATTTAATTTCTTCAAAAATGTTTTCTCATAAAAAAAAATAAATGAATATTTACCTTATTAAGTGTATCTGAGACACTTTCCTATTAAAAATTCGAATTCTTTAAAAATTAACTAATTTGTGCTTATTAGCAAATAGAATCTATTCAAACAAGTGGAGATAATGCTCAAAATTAGCTGACTTTAAAAATATGCAACACCTCGTTTTTTTTAAAAAAAAAAAGGTATTTTGAAATAATTACATTTTTGAAAAAAAAAAGCGGGATATTGCACAAAAAAGACGATTATTCGAAAATCTGTCAATGAATCATCATCTAATAAAATTACTATTCTCGGAATTTCACCTAAAATTATTTAGGAAACAATAAATTTTTTTAGTTATATTACTTACTGGAAAAAGTAACATTTTAGAATGTACAGAAACATTCATTTGGAGTCACGTTGATTTATAAATTCATTGGTTCTTCGCCTAATTTGGTAACTTTAAATATAAGAATATAAGTTTTGGGCAACGCTAAGGTGTATGAAAACTACATTTGGTAAATTTTCGGAATACTTGATGATTATTGTTTTCAAAAATCCGAGATTTTCAAATTTAGTAATTTATAAGCCGTTCTGAAAACTGCAACTATTTTTTTTGATTCTTGACCTTTTATTATTATTATTTTTTTTTTTTTTTGGTTCTTTTTTGTTCATTATGAAAATTTATCGGGCAGAAACAGGGAAACGAATTCAAGTACGAAAGTCTTTTGAGAGGTATGTTTTTCAACTTTTTTTCATACAATAGTTGTTTTAGTGAAGGTTAGAACCTATAGTGACTCTCTTTTTTCGCGATTAAGTCTTAAATTAAAATAATGATATACTATTGATTGTTCCATGATTTTTATTTATGAACGTAAATTGATTGATCCATTAATATCTAGTTTGGGCGACCTTAAAGCGGAGCTAGAGCAAGTGGGTGGTGTACCAATATCTTCACAGATATTGATGACAAGTTTTGGCTTGCAACTCAAAACCGAAATGATAAATGATGCAAATAAGGCTACTGGGAAGGTAAAATCAAAATTCTTTACTTGATTTTTTTTTTTTAATTTGATCGAGTAAATTATATTTTAATTAATACATTTAATAAATTTAATAAATTATTTATAAGGATGAGTACATTATATTTCTTTTCGATAGGGATCTTCTAGATGTAAACAATACATATGACCAAACGCCACTTGTTGAAGGCCTTTCACTGGAACCTCCAATAATTGGTAAAACTACAACTAGTTTTTATATCAATATTTTATCCATTTAATGCTAATTTTCTGTTAAATTATAGCTCCTGCGGCGTCAAATATTCTTACAAGATTACAAAATCGTGGTTCTTGGAATAACATAAATTTATCCGAAGAATGTGGTGCTTATGTCAATTTATTTCAAACACATCACTCTCAAGGACAGGTGAACATTTTTATTAGAGATGTGTTATTCGAGAATTTGACTTGAAAGTTTCATTTAATAATCTTTTAAATTCCTTCAATTATTTGTCAAGTTATTCGTCAAGACAGCTGAAAAACATGCAGGAATTTGTAAACTGCTATATCAAGAACAAAAGATTCAGCAAATGGCATTGGATGTTGCCATCACAAATCTCAACTCCCATTGCCGGTTTGTACGCGCCCAATAAGTTAATGGTTATTCAAAATTATTTAATAATTTCAATAATATTACCTTGTAAATTTAGTTCTATAATTGAAGCTCATGAAGATGTTTATACATTTGCTGAAAAAGAAATAACAAAACAAACCAGGCTAATTCAAAGGTCTTTAACCTTTCTATAATATAACTTATTATATAATTATTACATATTTAAGCGCTAAATTTTCATAATTATGTAATCATTTTAGTTTATCAACTGATATTGAGACGCTTCGGCGTATCACAATTCACCCTGGATTGTTAAAAGATGCAAGAAATTTAATGAATGACAGAGATTCTTATACCTTGGCTGATTTTATAGCTGAAGACAAGCTTATAATATTGGCGAAAGAGGGTAAACAAGCCTATGGTAAATTCCTTATTGTATACTGATTTGTTTTTTCTTAGCCTTTCATATAATTATATTATTACCAAATTAACATGTTCCATCTTCAGACCAAATTTCCAATCGCGTCCAAGAGTTGACTTCTCTGGTTCGTGCTGTACAATCAGGTACAGATACGTTAAAAAAGAAGAAATTTGATAGCTCGTACGTAATTTTCATATTACTCCATAATCTTTCAATAATCATGTTTAATTGATTAGATAATCTATATTTCTCTCAGATTTCTTAAAATAGAAACAGCATTAAATAATATTCGAGAATACCATAATAAGCTAACACAAATTGCTCAAAAACTGGAAAGAGGTAATTTCTAATTTATTAATTATTAAAATTAATAGAAGCAAACTTTTACCAAAAAAAAAATTATTTTATTTAAGACGTCACACGTGTACAAAGTAAAGTGACAGAAATCCTTGAATCAAATACCAAAAATTTATCCACAACAACTATTAAGTCAATTGAGGCTTTTGACCATCTTTCCGACATTCATTCACAGGAATATTTGCCAGGTATATCTCATTAATCTAATAATATTTTATCTGCATTAAAATTTGTTCTTACACGCGTCAATTGTAATTTTTTTTATAGAAATGCAAAAATATGATCAATATATTCGCGAACAAGTGAAATTTCTTGTTCAGTGCAAGGTTTTTCTTATAATATATATATATTTATTTATTTTGGAATTTACTATTTTCTAAATATTTAATTAAAAAATTTAAAGAATGCTATGACTTCAACATTAATATCCAGTTTACAACAAATATCACGTCTTGAATCTTCTATTGCTGGTATTCCTGATTCGTTAAGAAGATTGGATTCTGACATTCAATCTAAAGCTCAAGAATTTAAAAACTTAAATCAAGTTCACCAAATGCCAATTGCTTATGTAAATATTATATTCGCTTTTTTAATCTTAATGTTTAGTAATATTATTGACTTGAAGTCTTTTTGAAATTTAGGCAAAGACGATTGCTGAGATTGTGAGAAGAAAAGAATATTCAAATGTATGTCCAGTTATTATACTCTACTATTATTATTTATTCCCAATTAATTTATTTTTCATAACTTTTTTTAGCTTATACTTACAAAAGCACAACAAATGGCTGAGATAATGGGCCACTTTCGTAATATAGAACAGAAGAGGCGTGATTCTTATAGAACGGATGTAAAAAAATATGTTCCCATTAATATTCCGGGTATAATTAAAAAATTTAAATTTAAAATTTACCATGAAGTTGTATTTAATTGATTTTATTGCTGACGAATTTTATAGCATTAGATGATAATCCTCCTATGTGCGACATATCTACGGCTAATATTAAAGAGGATAAATTACCGTCTTTTACAGCAGAAGATATACATTGTAATGATCTACTGGTCCCTTACTTTTCCGCCTCATGCTTTACTATGATTTATAGCATTCTTTTTTTTTTATATAAATAGCTTTTTTGAGTTTTATAGAGGAAATTCGTCCAACAGTAATGTCTCAGGCTTCTTTTCATCGCTCTCCAACTTTCAATGCTTCATCACGAATACAATCTCCGCAAAATGATTCTTTGGCAAGTTTACAGACAGCATTGTTGAAGTTGGTTAGCCAAATAGAGGGAATGAATCACGAATTTGATCGTATTGTAGAGAAAAATTGTAAGCCAAATGCACGTTATTATTTAGTATCTTGTTATCTTAATTATAACTTTTATTTTCCGGTAATTTTTATAGTTCTCTCCGAAAAGAGTGATAACGTCAGAAATGGCAGCACAATATCGCGTCCAATATCATCAATTGAAGGCATATTTCATTAGTTATATAATGTTAATAAATTTTTATAATGAAGTGAATGGATATTAAAAAATTCTTCTTAATTTTAGGTCGAACATTAACTCCACAGCTCGTACCAATGTCATCTCAATTAGGACGTCGTTCCAAAAGGGCTTCGCGACAAAGTTTTTCTGAAGATAGCGCCCCACAAATAGATGTTAACATGGATCTGTATTTTGAGAAAACGAAACAATTAGACAAGGCCGAAGAGAAAATAAAGGTTTTATTTAAAAATTTTAATTCAATTCATAATTTTAATTTTGTGTTTAATTTACTGAGAATTATTCACCTATTAGGCGTATGAAGCTCGTATCAAAAATCTAGAAACTATATTGCACAAAAATTATCAGGCAGCCAAGAATTCTCAAACAAAATCCGAGAATTCTATAACGGAAGAAGAATTACTTTCGCGTTATCAGAATCTAGAATCCTCATACGCTATTGAAGTTAGCGAAAAGAAAAAGCAAGAAAACAAAGTAAATGAATTAGAAATGCGTTATAAAAATTTAGAATCATCTTACAACGCAATTGTTAATGAAAAAGAGACATTACTTAAGAGAATAAATGAACTCGAATCACGTCATGAAGCTATAAAAGAAATTGAAGAGAAAGCTTTAACATTTGAAAGTTCACATGCTCTTGTAGTGAAAGAAAACGAAGATTTGCACACAAATTTTAATGAATTACAAACTTTGTATGATTCATCAAAAATGCGATGTAATGAATTGGAAGCAAAGATAACTGAATTAGAAGCAAAAATAAGTGAACTAGAAGCAAAAATAGATGAATTAGAAGCAAAAATAGCCGAATTAGAAAAAGTGTCACTTGAGCTTCGAAATAATGAACAGGATAATTTTTATTCTGAACATGTGGAAAGTATTATTAAGGATCTAAAACAAAAATATCAAGATTCAAAATCAGAGAATCATAAACTTCATGATGAATATGAGAAAAAAATAAGGGATTTAGATACTGTCCAACGCGAATCAGATCGGAAATGTGTTAAATTACGTGAAGAAAATGAATGGATTATTAAAGAAAAAGAAATACTAAACGCATCAAAGTCGAGCTTGGAATTGAAGTTTAATGATATTTTGACAGAAAAAAATAAATTAGAAGCTATATTTGAAGAATATAAACTAAAGGTTTTTTCCTTTTCGCACTATTTATTGTGTTAAGCACTAAACCATGGTCAGTAAATTATATATATTTATTATAATTCGCAGTTTGAAGAAAAGGAAAGTTTGTATAAACAAGGCCAATCAGAGTTGAATAAAAGAATCGAAGAGTTAGAAGCCCAACAGCTTGGGCAAGAACAGATCGAAACCGTGGAAGAGCGTTGGAAAAAAAAGGTATATCACCATCATTTTTTAACATAATTACATTCTAAATTATACTAATCCTATTTGAAAATAGATTGAAGAACTCCAAAAGGAAAAGGATGAAGCAATTCAAAAATACGAATTAAACAAGCAAAATGTCAGTATTTTAATATCATTGAAATCTATTTTGATAATTCTCTCTTCCAAATACTTATATCTGTGTATTACAGTTACTTAACGAAATTGAAAGTTGGAAGGCTAACCTCGACAGAATGAATTCAGCTCGCGAAGAATATGAAAAACTGCTTGATAAGGTGAATGTTCTTAATATTAGGAACAACATTTAGTTAAATTAAATTATTAATTTTTTTTTTTGTTAAGACACGTGAAAGAGTCAAACTTGCTGAACAAGAAAATGCTGAAAAAATGAAGGCTTTAGAACAGGTAATTTTGTTAGTGTTAATCGACATAATAGTTTTTTTTTTATTTATTAATATTATTTAAATTTCAATAGGTTGAAAAGTTGGTCAAAAACATCACTGAAGCCATTCTGGAATATATGCCTATTGTAACTGCCTATGATTCATCTAAATCTACTGAACAGGTAAAATTATACTATCATAATAAATTATACGTTTCTTTCCATTATAACTTTTCTTGGATATTTTAAAATTTAGGCAAAATTAGAAACAAATTTAAACCCTATAAATATGATACAAAAAGTCGGTAGTGTAGCGAAATCCATGGCCCAGGAATTACATGATACAAAACAGGTTTGTTACATTATTGTTTACAAAATGTATTTATTTGACTACATCAATTAATGAATTACTAATTATTATTTACAGCTTTTCGAAAATTCTAAAGTTACTAATATCAGGTTAGAAAAGTCTCTAGACGAAACGCAACAAAAGTTGAAAGAGCGAACAGAATTTTCACGTATATTAAGCAAATACCTATGGGAGTATTACATTAATATTCGGACATTGATGAGTGCTATGGGATTAGCTTTACCTTTGAATGACGAAAATAGATTAATTAGTTTAACATCAATTGAGGAGGAAAAAGGAAATCCTAAATCAACTGAATCACGTCTATCAGATAGCTATTATGCTGAAGATTTAGGAAAATTTTTTTCAACCGATTCTTTGATTGAACCAATAGAATGGCCAAAGGATAAATATACAACACTTCTTACTCTCTCAACAAAAGTGAATCTTAGTAAAGTTTGCGATATGATTAGACGAACGCCTCAGGACGCCGAGAATCTTGCAAAGAAATATCAAGAAGAGAGTAAATCAAACAGAGGTAGGTTCAAATGGAAGATTTATTTAACCATTTTTTACAATTTTGATTTCAACCAAATTTATTATTTGACAGAAAAATATCATAAATATCGTAAATCCTACCAAGAGTCAAAGGACAAAATCGCGTTTCGAAAGTAAGCAAATAAATATTTAATTTATTGATCATTATTATATAAATCAATTAAATTTAACATTTTTCAAATACTCATTAGCTTTAAGAATGGCGACCTTGCACTATTTTTGCCTACTCGAAATTCAACAGCAAAACCTTGGGCTGCTTTTAACATTAATTGTCCGCATTACTTTTTACGCGCTACTGAATCGATAATTCGTAATAAAGATTGGATTGTCGCGCGAATTGTGGATATTTCTGAACATATAGTTGATATAAAGGTTTGTTTAATTATTGATTATTTCACGTATTAATTCAAAGGTTTAAATTCTAAGCTTGAAATTAATAATTTGCATAGAATCCGGAAACAAATCCCTATGAATTACCAGATGGTGTTAAATATTATTCACTAAGTGCTGAAGTGTATCAGAATATTTCAACACCTAGTCATCATTCTAGAAAACGTTCTGATTCTGACAAATCTTCGCGCATGAGTGCATCTCTTAATTTAACTTCAACGAGCAACGACGCAAATTTAAGTATGTCATCATCCACAGCAGATGTATCTACACGAAGCCGAATACAAAGTATGCCAACGCGTGCCTATTCAATGTCTTCTGCACATAGATCGTCACCTTCGTCACCTCCTGATACTTCTTCGACAATTAAACGTTCAATTTTAAATTTGTTTACATTTAATGAATCAGAATCAGAATCCAAAGAGAACACTCGATCAAATTCGGACCTATCATAACATTTATTATTTATTGGTTACCTCATCTTTTTTAATACTATTAAGAAATCACTATTTAAACTTGCACGTAGAAACTTTTTAAAAAAAATCAATTTTTAAATTTATTATTTGTTCTTTTTTACTTTTTTTTGTAATAAATTTTTGTATAACAGAATTAACCGGCTATTAAACAAAGATTTTAAAAAAGTAACGATGAAAATTTATCTAAGCTTTAATATATATATATTCTACTTTCATAAAATATTTGTCTATTTCGAAAATTATATTTACTAAGTTTAAAAAAAAAATATATATATAAATACATTAAAATTAAATAATTACGAAAAGAGGAGTGGAGGTCTAGGAGTTGGAGTAGGTGCACGTTGCAACAAAGTAGGATAAAGTTGTGCTTTGGTTTGCTGTATATTGAAATTTCGTGTCTTTGTTTTTCTAGTATCTTGTGATTCCGAGTTATCCCAATCCTGAATGAGGATGAGAGGAACTTTAGCATTGCCTTGATTGGAATCTGAATCGCATGGAACGACAGTCAATATTGGTTTTTGCATTCTAGAAATCTCCTCGTTGTTAACTTGATTAAAATTATCATTTAAAGAAAAATCATCAACATCATGATTTTTAAAATAATTTGCGTTCAAAGAAGCATGCGCTAGAGCATGAACTAAATCATCAGCTAAAGTGTTAGAATTAGGACGGTCTTCTTTAATTTGAGTCCATCCAACTGGCGGTGAACAAGGTGGGGATACCAGCCAATTTCTTTCAAGCTCTGGTACATTAAGATGCCTTGAATTATCGATTTCGTCATATAAGGGAGTATGCTACATATATAATCAAAAAATTGTTAATAATTGATTTATAATTTGATAATTTTAAAGAAAAAAAAGGAATTAAGCCACACCTGTCCATAATATACACGTATAACTTTGTTTAAGAATTCTCCTCTGTCGCAATATCTTTTGGCAGTTTTTGCATCATTGGTTTGATAAAAAATAGCAAGAATGCGATTGAACGACTTAATCGGCACAAGTTTATATATTTTTCCATGTCGTTCTAAGCGATCTCGAAGTTCAGCAAGATTTTCAGGAATAAAAGCTTCTCGATCAAGATTAGTAACTATGAGTGTGTTTGTAACAACGATCTCTGGGATTTTAATCCGAGGAGGTAAAACGTGTGAAGCGCAAGGCATTGTGTAAATTTTATAAGGAAAAATTTATAGTAATTATTGTAATTAATTTTTAATAATAAGAAAACGTAAACTTATAAGAACTAATATGGAAGAAATGTTTTTTTGTTTTTTGGTAATCAAAAAAAAAGAGATGCAGACGTATATATATATAACACCTGTTTAAGTAATTTTGCCAAGAAATAAATTATCTCGTTTTGACGCATCAAATATACAGATCTTCTATTAAACTTTTCTCTTATGTGCGATTATTCTGCCGAACCTTTCCAAAATTCCAATAGATCTTTCCAACAAAAAAAGCCACTATACCCACTATACATTAAATCGGAAAGTATCGATTTAGGTTTAGCGGGTGACACACAAAAATGACAAAATGCCCCGTATTCTATATATTACTACAGTAAATTAAATTTTCTTTATAATTCTTTTTTTGGACTAAAATATTTTCATATTATTATTCAAAATATTAAAAATTAAAATGGATCAAACTATTGTCTTCCTTTTTATAAAATCTAGAATTTATCTTCTTATATAATAAGTACAAAAATAATATTTCTTCAGTTCTTTCGATTATGGACAGCCAACAACGGAATTATCCGAAAGGTGGCTATGGAGCTTATACAGAAGATTCTTATAATAATAGACTCCAAACAGATGCACAGTCAAGCTCATATTTTCAATCTAGTTCTAGTAACGTTCCAAGCAAAATGTCAGAATATGATTCGACCAAGAAACCTTTAGTCTCAGGTACTGATTCTAAAGGTTTTCAGTATAGGTCACCAGAAATAGGACGTGTGATACCACAGGGGGAAATAATTAATAGGATTGTTCCATATTGGGAAGTAAGTAAGTTCTTCTAAGAAATCTTTATAGAATTTCGATTCAGGAATAACTTTTTTTATGTTTACAGTTGTTTATTAGTAATGCCGGACTTTTCGGCTACCACATAGTGTCTAGTGCCGCTAAAAACATCGGAACGGACGATGCCTTGAGCATTCTATTTTTTAAAGGATGTAATTCCGAACATGCTCAATCTAATCTTGATGTGTGTGCTACATCCATTTTATCTTGGAGTTTAGTGGGTGGATCATTATTATATCTAGCCTTTGTTTCGATATTAGCATTCTTATTGTTCATAGAATGTAAACGCCAAGGATATCCCGCGACATTCACTGCTTTGTGGAATTCTCCATTATTTCTTGTGTGTTATTTCTTTAAAGAAAATAGTCGGATTGATCTTTTAACGATTCCGAATAAATTTATTGGATTTAAAAAATGGACTCGATTACATTTACATAGATTAGGTTTAGCCATTTACTCGTTTATAACTACAGGAATTATCATATATTACCTCAATACAAATTTAACGGTAGACCAAGATGATCTTAAGATACAAAAACAATATAAAGCTGGTGACACATTCTGTAAGTCTTTAACTTTATTCCATGTTCTCTTCTTTATTCTTACTTAAAATGTCTTTTTTTTTATCTCAAATAGATAAAATATATAATCCATTCTTTTTACCTTATTATGCTGCCATGTACTTTTACGTTAAGACTATTTTATCTTCCGTTATTGAAATTAAAAACTTTTCGGACTTTGAAAATGCGGAATTAGTAGGAATTAATTACGCTTCTTTAAAGATTCACTAGGAATATTTAATTTATTTAATTTAAGCAATATAGATGACGTTGATGGTGATTCTATGATAATCTAAAAAAAAACCAAATTTTTTACTTTTTTATTTTGGAATACGTATTGTAACTTATTGAATTTAAAATTCAATCCTTTTGCTAAATTATTTAGTAATCGCAACGTTCCAAATTGGAAAATTACTTATCGGCGTTTGAGTTATGAATCTTGCTAAATGGAATTGGCGTTTTAATTCATCATAATTCTTCATGACGTTCAGAAGTCTCAATTTTCTGTCAAATTCAAATGGACGTCTTAATCGTACACGTAGTATTCATACTTCAGTTATCTTCATTGTTACTATAAAAAATTTTTTCTCTTTATTAATCACATAACACGGTATAGGAATAAATTAAAATTTCATGTATTTATAAAGAATAAACAATTTCTAATAAGTACATACTGTCTAAATCCTGAATATTTAACAATTACAATAGCACATTTGAATAAAAGCTGTCACTCACCTTTAATGTAGGTTCGTTCTGATCCGTTGGTGACGTTGCATTGCCATTAACAAATATTATTTCTTACCTTGTTGCATACATTTCCGCTAATGACATAAATATTATTTTGTTTTACATCTATTGTTCTGCGCTCATCTCACGTACTCTCGTCATTTAAACTGAGTTATACATTTCTACGTATTCTTGCATAAATAAAAAAATTTTAAAAGTCACTTGTGTTCTTATTTTCTAGCGCCTAAAATAAGTAAATAAAATATTTCTCATTCAAGATAATTCATTGAACTTACCTTAAAACTTAAGTTGTTTCTTTTAAAATCTCGTAATCCATTTCGACCTTCGTAATCCACTTCGCTCTCGTAATATATTAACTCTAGTAACTATTCCTTTCGCTCGATTTCATGTATACTTAACTGTTAATAAACATATGATTATATATGTATTCTAATATCTAATTCCTTTAAATTACTGATTGACTCAAGGCTTGCAACACTATTAGTAAAGGAAACCAAAGGAGTGCGATAGTAGACTTAATCTGCATCACTAGTACATAGTCGAATAAAATGTGCAGATATTATTTTATGACAAGTCAAAGATTTTACAATTTTACAACTATAGCAAAAAGGATTAATAACAACTGCATTAATAACCAATTATCCAACAAAAAGTGAGAATATGATAGTAAAATAATTATGCAAAAAATGCAAGACAAGTAGTTAAACCAAATAATGAGAACAATTGCCAGTCTAGTTCGTTCTCCGAGGACTGAAATTAAGTTCTTACTTTTAGGAGCACAAAATTCGCACCTGAGAGTTAAGTGACAGTTCTTCCTCCTACTTACATTTCTGCCAACCGATAACCTTAGGGTTAGACAGTAGATACTGTGTAGACATAAGACAGCCATGGGATTAAGGCGAAGCTCTTAATAAGAAATTTAGGATCAGACGACTGAATTAGAAACATCAAAATTTCGAGGATGACATATGACGCGTAGGATCTACCATTTATGTTAGAAAAAAAAAAATTCTTAATGAATGTTTGATCTAACCAAAATTAACAGTAAATTGAATGAATGCCCTTTCATAGCTGCAGAAAATGAGACTTTGCGGTTTTCTTTATTTACTAGGCTTCTCATTGTTCTCGATCGGTTTTCACGAATGGTACCTTTGATTCCTAATACTACTGAACATTTGGATATTTATTGATAATTTGTACGTAAACATTGTTCGTTTTGAAATTTAGATAACAGTACTGTGACACCTCTATAAGTGCACCCTCTATAAGTGCACGCACTATGATCCCAACTTATAAGAGCTCTTAATATTTTACTCTCTATAAATGCACACCCTCTCTAAGTGCACATTCTACTATTTTTTTACTATGGTTCCAAAGGGAGTGCACTTAGAGAGGTGTCACTGTAATAATTTAGTCCTAAACATAACAATCCCGTTCATTTAGGCTCAATTTCCCATCTTTATGAAAGTCGACAGATGCATGTGATCAAATTAAAATCAAATTCTTTCCGAGACAATGGTGGTTTTTTTTAACTAGTAACTCTCTTTATTATAATATCAAAAAAAAAATTGATAACATACAAAAACGAGAACACTTAGCCAAAACACAATAACAAGAAAGTATTTACGTTATAACTAATCATTCTAGTCTAAAAGATCTAACTAAAATAAAAATAATAAACTATCTAATTGCTACTTTTTCCTATTCTTTGTTTTTTGTTTTTGTTGTTACCTTTCTTCGTCCTAACAGGCTAACACTACTACTGCCTTCTACCCTCTAATACACGCTTCTTACCCTCTTTTTTGTCTTCAGAAGCTAACGCTTCTTTTTCATGGTGTATCATTTAGTATCAATATACCTTTCTCAGATTTAGTTATGATAATAAGGTTACACAATTTTGAAACGACGAGACAACATGCGAAGGAACTATATTAGACAATGCTTCTATATTCTAGTACCTGCTATACCACAATAGCAGTTGATGTTACGGTAGATAAGGTAGTGATAAGGTTAATATTGAAATGCTTTTCCAAGTTTCCGCCAAACTGGACGATACTGAAAGTGCTTTTATAGCCAATGTTGATGCCAATGATCTTAAATGTTATTATCTACAGAGTAATAAGATCTCACCAAAGTAATAAAAAATTCTCTTGAATTTACTACTAATGGTTCTATAACATGGAATGATACTAGGGTGGGACACGGACCAATTATTGATAATTTTATAGTTAAAATAAAAGTATATAATTTAATATTAATTTTATTATAAATATTTGAATTGATTCTACACTTGCATTGTCTTTCCTTTTTGGTCAAAAATGATTCTCCTGGAAAATAAAATATTTTCTACGGTCGAAAATTCAAGATTATTTATTAATATTGGCATTAAATGTGATAGACAACTACAAAATAATGTTAATTCTACATCAAAATAACATTAAAACAACAGGATTTTATTTGCTATCTAAAATTTTTGGCCGTAACTTTAATCTCCAAGTATTTAAGCATGATTAATTTCATCCCGCTGAAAGAATTTTAAGACTTAGTATAAAATTCTGTGTTGCGACTAAAATTTTACATCACCTACTACAGTATTACATTATTGTCTATTTTTAAGAAAGTTATTTTACCGCAAGGAAAAATACTCGATATAACTCTGAGTTCTTGAATTATAATGATTCTACAAGATTCTTAGAATAAATGGAAACATGCACGTAAGCAGTTATAGTGGTTAATATATTTTCTAAACTGACAAATAATAATATATGTGTTAAATTTAAATTACGTCATTACAATTTTCAGAATTTTCTTTCCCAAAAATTTATTATGTTTATTTCACTGTTTATTATTAAGTCCTCATCCTCATAGGCTCATATACTTTAGGTCATTAAACAATTTTGCTATATGTAAATAAAGTTGTAAATAATATCTTACGCACAAATTACTAAATTAGGCTACGGAAAAAAATCACGTGTAATTATTTAGCTGATCTATCACTTTTTTTTCCAAAAATTTTTGATTTGGGATCTATCGCCACCTTCGATATGTTGCTCAGATATTTTGAGAGCTTGTATTTAAGTTACCAAGCTTTATTTTGGAGTTGCCTTGCGGTAGGTGGTATTGTGGTGTTCTATGTGACTTTACTTAATAGCAAAAAAAAGAAAAAGCAAATTATAGAAGATAACAAAAAGATCCGAGAGTTATCGGCCGTTAATAAAGAAAAAACAACCGGGAAGGGCCTTCGTAAAAGGTTCACTCGTTCAACTAAAAAGACTTCAAATCAAACTTGTACTAATGATTCAGGTGAAAAATCAGCTTGTTGTGGGAACGGCGGTGTGAGTGACTGTTGTAAGAATCAACTTTCAGAAGAAACCTATCATATTATAACAGCAAATAAGTCGACGAAAATATCAGTTAAAATATTCTATGCTACACAAACTAGAACAGCAAAATATTTTGCTCAACAACTATATCAGTCATTTACAAAACATTCCAACTGTGAATGTTCTATAATGGATATTGTTGAATATGAGACGGAAGATTTTTTATCTGAATCGGCAATATGTATATTTCTCATATCTACTTATAACGTTGAAGGTCCTCTTGATTGGTTTTATAAATGGTTAGAGGATACAAGATATGATTTTAGAGTAGATAAACAAGCTTTATCAAAGATGAAATTTGCAATATTCGGGCTTGGTGATTCTGCCTACGGGGATCAATTTTGTATACAACCTAGAAATATTGACAAATGGTTAGGTCAATTAGGAGCAAAACGATTATATCCATTAGGAGAAGGCGATAAAAACTCAGGTATAATAATCAAACTTAATTTTTTTTAATAAAATTCCTATTTGTTAAATTTTGGATTTTGTAATTCAGATCAAGAAAAAAATTTTGAAGCTTGGAAAAAATCTCTTGTCGATATGTTATTTGATCCTTCATATGCATTGAATAATGTTTCATCTAATCTTAATTATGATTCATATAGTGAATCTGATTCAGACTCGGATAATAATAATAATTCTGATACAGAAATGGTGGATGTTGAGGATATAGGTGCATTAGCCCCTAAATTACAGGCTGCACGTAAATCAAAGGAGGAAGAAGAATTTGTATATAAAAATAGTAATGGAAGACCGAAAAGAACCTTGTCTGAACAAGAGGTTCCTATAAATGAGCCTAAGGAAATGGTTACTCCAATGCTTCGTAAATCTCTAACTAAACAAGGATATAAAGTTGTTGGATCGCATTCGGTAAGTTGACAATACAATCTAACAATCATTTTATGCGCAAGATGGTAACAAACGTTTTTAATAGGGAGTTAAAATATGTCGTTGGACTAAGTCGGGTAAATTTTCGTTGTGATGTTATTTGTAGTATTGAATGAGTTTATGAATTCATTTGAACTGGATTTCTTTAGATAGTTTACAAATAATTTAATTACTTTGACATTTATTGCAGCTTTAAGAGGAAGAGGTTCTTGTTACAAGTTTTGTTTTTATGGCATACAAAGGTTGAAAATCAATTTTATTATGAAAATTCGGACATTTTGAAAGAATCTTTTTAATCGCTTCTTTTATGGATTTAGTCATAGATGCCTCGAAACTACACCAAGTTTGGCTTGTTCAAACAAATGCGTGTTCTGGTAAATTTCATTTTACAAATTTCATTTATTTATTTATTTATTTATTCTTTATTAATTAAAAAATTTTCAAAGTTGGAGACACCATACTAATCCTGTTGGTAAGTAAACAAAAAAAATGTCAAAAAAAAAAACAAAAATTTACTATTAAAAATTCTTTGAATAATTTTTAAAGGCAAAGAATTTGTTTGGAAAGTTGATCCACCAGAGATGATTTTTTCAGAATGTCTTAGTAACCATTATAAAATGATTAACGAAATGAAGGGTATACCGGGAATTAGAGCAGATAGATTTCAAGAAGCATTTAATGTTCGCCATTGCGCTTTATCATTAGTCGGAGAGCCTATATTAGTAAGTCTTATTTATATTAACATGATTAAAATATATTTTACAATATTTTATTTATTACATATATTATTAGTATCCACATATCAATGAATTTATTAAGCTTTTGCACGATAGACATATTTCGGTAAATATATTTAAATATAATTTCTTGTACAAAATTTATGTTTATGTATTTTTGTGTTTAATTTTATTATTTTGATAAAAACATATATCAAGTCGTTTATGGTTTGCAACGCACAACACCCATCTCGTCTAAGAGCATTAGATAAAGTAACACAACTTTATGTTAGTGTAGATGCTAGTACGAAAGAAAGTTTAAAAAAAATTGATAGGCCATTATTCAAAGATTTTTGGGAAAGGTTTTTGGAATGTTTAGATATATTAAGCCAAAAAGGACAACGAACAGGTAGTTTTATATATAATATAATTTTACTCGTCATATCTTATAAAATCATGAATAACGCACCATCTTTTTTTATTTATTATAATAATAGTTTATAGATTAACTTTGGTAAAAGATTATAACACCGAAGAAATCGCTAATTACGTTGAATTGGTAAGACGTGGTAAACCTGATTTTATTGAAGTTAAAGGAGTTACTTATTGCGGATACGGTGGAGCCAGCAAATTGACAATGGCTAATGTAAGTTAAACGAATAAATTATTTCTCTTTTTCCAACTCTTAATCTGAATATATTTTTTTTTTTGAAAAATATAGGTTCCATATCATAATGAAGTAATTTCATTTGTGAAACATCTTAACGAAAATTTAGGAGATACTTATGAAATAGCAACAGAACATTCACATTCATGTTCAATACTTATAGCAAATACAAAATTTAAAATTAATAATAAGTGGTATACTTGGATTGATTATGATAAATTTTTTGAACTACTCGAAAAAGGTGAACATTTTACTAGTTTAGATTACATCGCACCTACTCCTAGTTGGGCCTTGTTTGGTTCTCCTGAAGCTGGTTTTAATCCTGAAGATCAACGATTTTATAGAAAATCAAAGAAAAATAATAATTCTGTTAAAAATGGTGGATGTTAATATATATTACGTAATATATAATTCATCTTCCATATTTTATTGTATCATTAAAATAAAAAGTTATATTCAAAAATATTATTTTGTTGTAAAAACAAAAAGTTTGAATTGAATTGTTTCATTGTTCATAAGAGAGAATAAATTTTTATAAAGGATGACATCCCGTTATAATATAAACAAATATTACTATTTAACGATAAATATGTACAAGGGTTATTTTTTAGGAATATATTCCTATAAAAATTTATAAAATGTATATGATAATTATTGTCCCTATTATTATTAATCTATTTATTTTATTAATTCATTCCCATCCTTGTTAAATGCGGTGCCGTCGTCTTCTGTGTATAAGGTTTAGGCTTGTAATTATCATAATCACTATATTCATTAACATAATCATTATATTCATTAACATAATTATTATATTCATTTATTTCAGATATCGGTGGAGGAGGAGAAACTGGAGAAACTGGAGAAACAATTATTTGAGTGACATACGAAGGTGATTGTGGATTCACATATTGTTTTGGGTTTGTTGGAAGAGATCGTTGTGGTGGATATGTCGGTTTTGTTGAAAGAGATCGTTGTGGTGGAACTATAGGATATGTCGGTTGTGGTGCACCAACATAATTTCTTGGCGCGTAAGCGTTTCCAATTGTTGGTTGACGTGTTACATTCACTCTATTCGTATGCGCATTAGTTGGATAACGTGCTATACCTTTTGGTGGAATATTTCCAGGAATTGTTGGATTTCTATATAATGGAGCCACAAAATTGGGACCTGTTTGATTTCTTCCGGTAGGATCTGTTGGATTTCTTCTTAAGCCCGAATTTTGTGCAATATTTATATTTGCATTAGTCGGACGACGTGCTAAATCCACATTGACCGTAGCAGCTTTAGATGGTTGACGTTTAACATTTGTTACATATCTTGGATCTGGGACGTAAGTACCAATATTATTAAAATTCCTAATATCATTAGTATTATTGGAATCAGATGTTTTAGGAGGTATACGACTTAATCCATCCGTCTCAACGTTTTCATTGAAATTAGCTTTCTCAAGAAGATTTTTAGTTTCCTCTTCTAAACTTATATTACTGTATTCGCGTGTACCAACTATTAATAACACTATACCAAGAAAGAGCTAAACAGAATAAATTTAAATAAACATTAATATTAGAAAAATTCTTATCAAAGACGCGTAATAAATACGATATTAACATATTAACTTACCATAATACCACCTTGGGCACATGTAGCGATAAAAGTAGCTCTTTCAGCATCATCGGCTATTGCTGTGCATCGAGCCAAAAAATTGGGCTCAGGTTGACCTTTAGCGAGGTTAATTTGACATCTACGAATAAAATCTCCTTTGCCCCTCTTTGCAAGTATAATATTAAACACATTTAGACCAATAAGGATGAAAGTAGCCAACCACCATTGAAATGTCGTGAATGCTCTTATTAACGTTTTCTTACGCTATTAAATTAAGGTAAATTAACATTTTTTTTTTTAGAAAATAGTATTCTCAAGAATAAAAGACATATATACTACATACACTAATTCCTCCGAGAACTCCTGATATACCAAATGGTGTAAGAACGCCATTTATTGCTGCATATCCGATTAGAAAAAATTTTGTCAAATGCAAAGTTGCAGCTGTAATTTAAATTTAAATAAGCATAAACCGCCAGTTTTTTTTTTAAAAAAGAAAGAAAGGGAGAAGAAAAATGATTCTTACGATTTATTCCAAAAATTGTTAAAAACGCAGCAATAACACAATAACTCTGTAATTGAAGAATTTTGATTCTATTAGATAAACAATTTAAAATTTAATTGAATATGATATTAACTTATTTACCGCAAAACCCGCCCCAATAACAATAATTATTACACGTCCTAACATTTGTTTAATGTAAAAATCGTTATTTGTTCGTGTAAGTCGTGTTTTTAATAAATATTAAATCCATAAAAGAATGTCATAAAAGGCGAAAGCCGTAGTTCGTCAAGGAATTGCAAACTAGGTTTGAATTGCCCGCAATTCCTTCTGCTTATTTCTTCAAAAATTAAATTTGGACCTGCCAAATAAAATTGTCTAATTCTTTTATGTAGCCGCTTTTATGAAAGAAGTATAGAAAAATGAAGAAATAAGAGAAGAAAAAATTTTTTTTTTTTTTGCCTGCGGACGCGAATATAGATAGGATTTTTTTTGTTTTTACTTTCTTAAGCCAACAAAAAAAGTATAAACAGATAATATAACAAAATTTTAAGATCTTTTAATGCGTTACAAACTGCAGGAAATCGTATATATATATATATTATGTATGACCGAAACAATATGACCCTCGTACGCGTAATTGAAACAATTTCATGATGAATAGTATTTTTTATACTATCCTATTCTAAATATGGAGATGAACGCAATTCACATTCGGTAATCAAATATATTTTTAAAACCATTGCTAATTTATATTTAATTAATTTGTATGATAACTTTTTTGTTTAGCCTTCTTCCTTGTAGCCACAATACTTGCCACATCAAGAGCAAAACGCCAAAGAAATTTCCTTCTTTAATTCTGTCATGATGATGATAGTTGCGTAATTTTGATTTTTATTCGCCTTAAATGGAATAATTCTAGAGAAATCATAGGAATCTTTCAATACAAGCCTCATCCCTTCCAAGACTCTTCTCACCAATTATAATCTCATTCTTCCAATATATTCCATATAGGAGCAATTTCTTAATTCGTTTCATTTTAACTTTCGGAAAATTAGTCAAGCGTAACGTAACACATCCTTAAAAATCTTAACGAAATTTATAACAAAAGAACTATGATGCAGATTTTTAGTTCTTTTTAAATTTTACAATAAAATTTTGTAAAAGATTAACTTAATTAGGGTATTAATTTTATGTATTTATTAACTAATATTAAATATATTAAATATATTTAATATATGTACGTATCACATTCACATTTTAAGGAGTTCTAAAAAAAGAACGGTTGTAATTTCATAGAACTAAAAGATATAAGATACTAATCAGCTGCTTATTTAATTTATTTTTGAATACTTTGTATATATATTTTTAACTTGCAGAGACGAAAAAAGAAGTAAGGTATGAAACAATTAATGCATAGGTATACTCCTCTAACCCCTCTTACCCCTCTTTTAAGGGTTGATAACTGGTTGAGGAGAAAACTAATGTTTATTGGATATCTTTTCCCAATCTAAATTATGCGCCACAGACAAACCTGTTTTTTATACGAATACTCCCGACTCCTATAGAATCCCGTTATAATACGATTCCGAAAATTCAAATCCTGACACTCATTATCCTTCTTTTTCATTATTTTTGTGACAATAAAATTATTAATACGTCACAATTATTTATATATTTTTATTAATATGTAGATTTATTAATATGTAGATTTAGTGAATTATTATTATTGTTACTAGAAAAAATAAAATGTGTATTATTGGATTTCGAAATAGATCCACAATTTTGACTAAGAATTGTTTATTTAATTTAATTATACTAATTCTTATCATGATTTGCTACAAATATTATTGTCAAAAGTTCTATTTTACCAATTTTATGATATCATACTTTTAAATATAATATTAACTCAAGATTTCCCATTGTTCTATTTCTTGAAAATGTAATAAAGAATACATATTCAAGTTATTTAATAAAATGACAATTCTTAGGGTATAACATAACAGCGGCTAAATATTCAAGAAAACAATCTTTTTCCTAACAAAACAACTAAAATTTATGCGTCATTGTTGATACTCTAGAAGTCTAGAATCTAAGTCCTATTGTCTTCTGTTCACCATTCATTTTCATTTTTGTATGGCATACACAATTTTCCCAGGCTCATTTTCCCAGGCTCATTTCATTTATACCCTGATTTAGGAAAGGATTCACAACATTCAACAATGATTATAGACTACTCATTTATCTTTTTTGCGTAATACAAGAAATGTATATAAATAAAGGTTACCATTTTGCTTTTTTTTATTAGAATTCTCATACGATGTACAATCAATTCCATTTTTTTCGAAATTTTTATAGAATTAGTAAAACAAAATTACGAACAAATACGAATTTTGTATTTAAGCAAAGATTAATATTAGGAATCTCGCGTTTTAATTCTATTAATTCTAAGGTATCTTACGATTTTCCTAAAAGAACACTAATTACAAAGACTTCTCCCATCATTTCAAATTCGAATAGTGTTGATTTTACTTCATTTATCGATGATATTTCCGAGGATAGTAGGATTTCAGTGCAAGATAAATCAATTAAAGAATTGTTTCGTTCACTGATCGTTTATAAATTATGTTCCTCTCAATGGTTAGTGAATCGTGCTCCAAGTTTATTAAGATTTGCTGAAAAAGCAAATCTTTCAACTCCTGCTTACTGGATATTAAGAAAAACTTTTTTTACTCATTTTTGTGGGTATGATATAGTATTAATTTTTTTTTTTTTTATACAATATAAAGATTATTGATCAGTTCTGACCGTTTATATCATGAATTAACAGCGGAGAAACAGCCGAACAATGCATAAATTTCATGACTAAATTAGATAAACGCGGTATTAAATTAATTCTCGCTTTATCAGTTGAAGCAGATATTAATGAGAATCTTGAGACAAAATCTATTCGTGATTTATCAAACAAAGAAGCCGACAATGTGACAGATTCGATGGTTGATTGTATAGAAAAAGTTGCGGTACAACCAAATGGTTTTGTTGCATTAAAATTGACAGGTTTAACTAATCCAACAGTTTTGGAAAATTGGACTTCAACTTTAAATACTTTATCCAATTCATTTGATAAGTTTGATTTAGATAAAGATGATAAATTAGAAAAATCAGATTTCTTTCAGCTTATTCGTGAATTATTTGGTGACGATAAGGAAAATGTTGCTAAATCATTATTTGAAGATGTTGATAAAAATAAAGATGGTTTAATCAATAAATTTGAATTTATTAACGCATTATCTATAGATAATTTAAATGTTAGACCCTTGTTGATTAATAATAATGATCTTTATTTGAGTCAAGAAGATTTTGAAGATTATGATAAAATGATGAGTCGACTTAAAAAACTTTGTGAAGTTGCTCAAATAAAGAACGTTCGTTTGATTATAGATGCGGAACAGGTACATTTTCAACCTGCTATAGATCATGTAGCTATAAAGTTATCAAAAAGTTATAACAAACCTGACAATAAGAATGGTCCAATTATTTTTAATACCTTTCAAATGTATTTAAAAGATTCGAATGATAGATTAATTAAAAATTATAATTTATCGAGTCTTGAACAATTTGTATTTGCGGTAAAATTAGTACGTGGAGCTTATATGTTTTATGAACGTGAAAGAGCTGAAAAATTAGGATATCCCGATCCAATTCACAACACTTTTGAGGATACTAATGAATCTTATAATCACGCCGTGAAATTTTTATTGAATGAATTATCTCAAATTCAGAAGAGATCAAATAAACAATTGGACATTTCAAACAGTCCAATAGCATTTATGATTGCTTCTCATAATAAGGAATCTGTAATAATGGCTTGTAAACAGATGAATAATCTTGATATTTCATCCAAATCCGGTTTAGTTTTGTTTGGTCAAATATTAGGTATTCTTGCAACATTCAAATTAGAACTTTTTTTAATCAAATAATTAACTAATGATTGTTTTTTGATTTAAGGTATGCGTGATCAAATCACCTATACTCTAGGAAAATATGGATACGGAGTTTATAAATATGTACCTTATGGCAAGGTTAATATAATATAATTTTTACCTTACTTATTCCCGGTTAATTTTCTTATAAATAACTCTATTCTTTACTTTTTATAGATCAACGAAGTCATACCGTATTTAATAAGAAGAGTTCAAGAAAATTCTGCTATTCTTAGAGGTGTAGGAGGAGAAAACCAAATTATATGGAGAGAAATTATGAATCGTATTTTTCACAGAGTTCCTCAAGCCTGAAAGAAAATTACTTTGAGTTGTACTGTATAGAGTCATCAAACTAGTATAACACCAATACATCAGATTCGTAATTAATGTCTATGTTTTTATTAAAATAAATAAATAAATTTGTTTGTTGAATAAATTTAAATATATTGTTCTTTTTAAGAAATTTTCTATAAAAATGATAATTAATAAATAATCGTTTTTCAAATTATATATGCCTCTTTCACCCAGAGTTTACGGAAACCTAGATTAAATGAAAAATAAAACGATTGTTAAATTAAAGTTGTGTTAACTCCAAAGATGCGAGAATTGATACCTACTCAACATTCCCGCTACAAAACCCGTTACAGCTTGTACTCCATCAGAAAAAGTACATTCAAATAGATCATATCCTTTATTAAAAAAAAATAATAATAAATAAATTCATCAATAAAATAATTTGTCTCTTTTTTTTAAAAAAAAAAAAAAATTTACTTACCACAAAAACTAAAATCCATAGAAAGCTTAACTAAACTAGCATATAACCAATACTTTTTATCTTTCAACTTTTCTATATCATTTTCTGACAATTTTCCTTTTGATTTTTTAGTTTGTTCATTTAAATACCAAATTCTAAATATAACTTCATGAATATCCATTATAATGTTTAGAAACCATAATTTAATAGCAATAGGTTCAGCTCTTTTGGCTACAGATTTGTCTAATATTCCAACTTTACCAAGACAATATAAATCATCAAAGAAATCGTTCAATATACTAGTAATGGAATTAATAAAACCCAAATAATAAACAAATTTTTCATAAGGACGAACAATAGAAGATGGATTACGTGCTCCTGTTACATAATCATTTAAATCAGAATATGGCTCAAGAAAATGTGCTAAACGAATTATTTTGCGAGTATTGGAGAATTGTGAAGTCATCGCGATTAAACGAGGATAGAGTTTAGGATATTTTGATTTATTTTTACCAATATGAGTCCAAAGAATAATTTTTCCAAAATATTGAATAATTTTTAGAAATTTATCACGGCCATCAGAATGAACTAATAATCTGCGAAGAATCTCATGAGTTGGACGCTTTAATGATGAAAACTTATTGCTTGTAGAAGGTTTAAGTGTTATGGAAGTTGCGTTAGACATGATACTGAAACGCTATGGAAGAGACTGTTCTAGAAAATAAATGGAAAATTTAAAGAAAGAATTGAAAATGATTTTAATGAAGAAAATACTATTCCGATTCTGATCTAATGTCCGACTATATGTACATTATGTACATAATACATTGTGTTCGATTGTGTTCGGAGATTTTAGTGTAACGAAAAACAATGGAACTTTAGAACTTTACTGTAAAAAATCTCAAAATAGTTAACTAATTAATTTAATATTTTCCTCTTTTTTTATTACTTTACTTTCCTTTAGCAAGATTAGCTTTTTTTTTCTCTTCTTTCTCTCGCGTTATATTTTTATTATTATGCAACAGTCATCCCAAACACAACCGTCAACTTCTTCAATAGCTAGATCTTGCGCCAATAATATATTAGCGATTTTTCTTTTTCCATTTCATGTTATATCAAAAATAACTCAAAAACTATTGAATCCTGCTAAACGTAATCAAAGACGTATTCATAGTCGATCGCCAGCTTTTACCTTTAAAATAATATGGACATTTGCTTTGTTAATAGGAGAAGTCTTTATTTTTTCGTATTCAATGCAAAAATGTTCTTGGCCGGAACATGAAAGTTGGGTAAGTATAAATTAGTCCATTTAATAATACCTTATGCTATTTCTTAAAAAATTATTTAATTAAAATTTATTATTAGAATACCACAGCAACAGAACCTGTTCATGTTGCAATAATTGCAGACCCACAGATTATTGATGATTATTCCTATGGTCGAACAGGTATTCTTCAGAAAATATCTGAAATATATCCCGACATGTATATGAGAAAGAATTGGATAAATTTACAACATATATTTGATCCTGATGCGATAATATTTCTTGGTGATTTAATGGATGGGGGAAGAGAATTGGATGATAATAAGTGAGAATTGATTAATATTATCCTTCGTTATAAATCGATTTTAACTAAAAATATATATATGTATATTTTTTGTTTTTGTTAGATGGGACGAAGAACTTCACAGATTTCGACATCTCTTCATACCCGAAAAACCAATAAAAACTCCAACTTTTTATTTGGCGGGAAATCATGATATTGGATTTGGGGAACATATAATTCCGGAAGCGTTTTACAGATTTCGAAAAGTATTTGGGGCATTCAGCTATATGACAAAGCTTGGTAATCATTCAATTATAGCTTTAGACACAATAGCTTTGAGCGGTTCTAACAATAATTTGAAAAAGGACGCGAAAAAGTTGATGCAGAGACTCAATAATGGTGAAATTATTTTTAGATTTCAATAAAATTTATAATATTTATAATTGATATATTAACAGATCTTTTTGATTTTTTTTAGATACAACAAATTCTTTTCCTCGCATATTACTGACGCATGTTCCTTTATACCGTCCTCCAAACACCGATTGTGGACCGCTTCGACAAAAAGGACATTCTATTAATCAGGGTGCCGGTCACCAATATCAAAATTTAATAGTCGAATCTTTATCTAATGATATTATGGATAATATAAAACCATCATTAATATTAAGTGGAGATGATCATGATTATTGTGAAATTCTACATGGTGAAATTCCTGAAATTACAGTAAACACTTTCAGTTTTGCAATGGTAATTATTTAATGATAAATAACTTTTATTTAAAATGATTATATTAATGTTTTTAATAAATTTATAGGGAGTTAACAGACCGGGATTTTTACTTTTAAGTCTCTATAACCCCTCAAATGATAATTCAACAGAAACAAACTTTACTACTTTCGCTTATTCTCAATGTTTATTACCAAATCAAATTCGAATATACATTTGGTATATAATATTGTTTATCGCCACAATATTTTGTATTTTTTCACAAGCATTTCTTAAATTAAGAAGGAATAGTGAGATGTTGCCAATATGGCATAGGTATCATCAAAAAAGGAAATGGACAATATTTACTTCTCAATATTGGAAAATGATTGCTAAAGAAGTTGGCGATATTGCTTTAATCGCATTTATAATTTATTTAGGTTGTTGGATATGGTTTTTAATTTAAGAGTTTATTATATATTTTTTAATTTTTAATTTCCAGAAAATGATTTCTTAGTAGAAATATGTATAGAATTATTCATTAAAATACTTAGTATACTAGTATACAATAAATTTATCTATGATTTTGTATTATAGTTTTTAGCAGACTTAATTAATTTAGTAATTTATTTATGTAATACTTATTTTAATATTCTACGGAAGTTTTTGAGATTTCAAAAAATGAGGATACAACAATAAATTCTTTTTTTCATTTTTATTCATATAAAAAAAGTTATAATATAGACTTACATAATCTAATCCCAATATAAAATTTATATGAATGGGATTGAGTAATTGAGATATGCAATTTTTTGGGTTTTTTTTTCTAAAAGGTTTGTTAGACTTATATATATAGATTATATAGTAAAAAATTAAATAAATATACGATAATTGTGTAAATTGTGTAACTTAGAGGAATGTCACGATATTAGTATATAGAATTTTAGATCAGGAGTTACGCGATCACAAAAAAATCATATTAAAAAGTTATTGCTCATAAAAGATCAGAGATAGAATTTTCATCTCTACAATCAAATATCAATTCAAGTATCAATTTGGATCATTTGGATTATTTACCATTTCTATATTCCATTTTTTAGAAATTTATTTTTTCTTCATTTTTTACTTTTCTTTTTAACCTATCATGTCACCACCATCGTGCTCTGCTTATATTGGAGGGTTTACACAGGAAACTACTGAAGATATGGTATCTACTGAGTTTTCTCATTTTGCAGATATTGTAAACTGTGAAAAAAAAACTGGTTTAAATGGGTGTTATTTTAAAATAACATTTATTGATATTTCTACTGCAAGGAAAGCTGTTAATCAATATGTTTGGCAAGTTGGATATATTTTTGGTTATACAATATTTGGTTCTATGGTAATTTTTTTTAAATAATATATTTATTTATCTTTGAATATATTAAATTTGAAATCAATATAATATAATATATACTTTATACATAATATTTTTTTTTAGTATGAATCACAATTTACACATCCTTTAATCGAATACCCACAAACTTTAATGAAAACAAGTTATTTTCCACATCCTTCATCCTTAATATCATTGGAAGATAGACAATTATTATCAAATGTTTTAACACCAAAAATATATAGTAATTTTGAAGAAAAATTTAAAGATCCAATAGGGATTAAATTTGGATGGATCAAATATTATAAATTAAGCCCATTACGAAGAAAACAACAAAAGCTTTACCAAGATTTACCTACTTTTAATCCAACAAATAATATCGAAGAAAATAATTCTTTATTATCATGGTTAGGAGATGCATCATTAAATACAGAAATTATGAATTATGTTTATAAATTTTCTTTAAGTTATTACTTAACTTCTGATGATCTTGATTCTATATGTTCTTGTTTAAAGTCAAACATTACACTTGCATTTCTTGCCAGATTTCTTGGATTAAGTACTCAGGCTGGACTTATAGGTACAGTATATATTAAATTTATAAAGTATATATATATTTTTTTAACAATAACCCTTTTTTTTATCTTTCCTTTTTTTAGGATATATTGATAAACGTGACAGTGATCTTATTGAGGCTTATATAGGTGCTTTGACTCTTAAGGCAGGATCAAACAGTAAATTGGCTTCTAATATAATAATTGAATTTGTACATAGAACTTTAGGCGGATTATTTAGAAAGTTAATACAAAACAGAAATTTTTTTTCTCATCCACATTTATCTATTGATAGAAAAATCGAATATCATATTACTCTAATTAATTACTTTTATAGTGTGGATGATTCATTTGTATGGTATTCGGGTCAATTTTAATTAATTAGTATAGAGATGGATGTTAATCGGACAGCCTAAACGATCGAAAAAAATTCAAAAAAAATTATATAAAGTTGACTTTGAATTCAGATATTTTAAACTTTAGGCCGATCCCACCGATCTATGATCCTAAAACAGGATTAGTCTTTACCATAACGATCAGAGAGTTTCTGATTGCAAAGCTTTTTTTTTTTTAAAAAAAAAACTCTTAAAATAAATAGATTATATAGCAAATAGAGAATTTGAAACGCAAGTTGTAATATCCTTTGGATTGTCACAAGCGAAAAGAAGAAATCTTTGAGATAGCAAATATTCTTTTTTATGTAATATTTCGTGATTATAATATATCGTTTGGAAATAATAGTACTGGATTCTTTGATACACAATGAATCAAAATTCTAATCAAAAAACTAAAGACACCTTTTATATAAGCGAGGGCAAGAGCTGTAGTTTGAGTTTACATGTTATCCAACTTATAATCTGGCAAAAGAGGTCATTTCAAGATGTACCGTGTACATTACTTGGTAGACAAATTATTTTTGATCATAAAATAAAGATTTCAACTTGATACTTTGTTCAAACAATCATCTATGAATGCGAGTATATATGATTTAGGTGTCGATCATTAGTAATTTTTTTCTGATACCCGATTTTCATTCCTTAAATAATACTCTTTATGTGAACCCATTCAACACTAAAATATTTTAATAAATAATATTTATCCCAAAGTTTCAAATAATTTTTTTTTACAATAATTTTTTCGCATAATTTTTTACTTTATTCTGCAGACCCTTTGCAGTTGACTCGTGCATTTCATATGCTCCAAAGGTATCCTATAGCAGGAAGCCACATTACCTTATATCAAGGAAACTTTTAGGCCTACAATTTGCGAAAGGAAATCTATAGATGACATATAACCTATATACAAGTTAAATAATTTTTTTGTTATCTTACATATTGTATAGATAATGGACTTTGAATTAGTGTTGCGATCCGTTAATCCGTCAATTCGTCAATCTGCGGATTTATCCGATTTGAAACTCATCCGGATCATCCATGAATCCGTTTTTTGCTCATCCGGATCAATCCGTCATCCGTTACTCTATGTTTTAACGGATTGGATCTGAATCATCCGGATTGTACATATAACTTTCTCATCCGGATTAAATCCGGATTTTCATCTGGATCATCCGTTTATTTTCGGACCGGATTGAACGGATGACGGATTCATCCGGATCGTAACACTACTTTGAATTATATGTTATAAATACTGAAGTTGATGGAGCTGGATTTCCTTAGCTTGCTTACTTTTAAAACATAATGGAAAATGTAATAATGGTATTAGAACTGAAATAAAACAGATAAAGATTGGACACAAATATGGACATATCACTCACTTGCCAAAGGTAAAATTCAGCTTTGTTATTGACATATAAATAGAGCTAATTTAAAGAACTAACTTAAAAATATTATCATTTTTATTATTCTTTACAAAATCCCAGAGATTACCTATTATCCCAAGGTTATGTATTAAATTTTATATTTTACAAAAAGTACATATTATTTTTTTATATATAATTTTAAAATTGAAAATAACATATCATATACAAAAAGAAAAGAATAAAAAAAGGAAACATATTCCACCCACCTACTTGCAAATGTGCAAATGTTCATTATAAAATTGTATTATTATTATTAATGTATAATAAATAATAAATATATATTACAATAAAAATATTTTTGTGATATTAATTCAATATTAATATGGTATCATTATGATGCAATTACAATATCAAATAAATGTAAAACATTTTTTGCAATGTTAATTCAATGTTATATGATATTACTATGATATAATTTAATATTAAATAAATGTAAAACATTTTTGTAATATTAATTCAATGTTAATATAATATCACTACAATATGTTTATGTGATAGTATCTACATCACATAATGATTACAGCAATATTACAGAGATATTGAACTAATCAATATTAAATAAATACAGTTACAACTACTTAATAATATCAAATCAATTTTTTATTAAAATATTACAATATATCATATAATATTATTGTAATATCTAATCAATATTAATTGTAAATTCCAAATTTTAGCAAAATAATGCTAATGTTTGACTTTTTATCTTTTAACAAATATTATAATAATCATTTTTTTCTTTTTTAGGCAATTTTAGACAATTTCTAGTGATTTGGATTGGTAAATGTACTGTATTTTATTTATTATCATGTTTTTTTTTTTACTTTTTTATGAACATTTAATTTATTCTTTTATAGTATTCTATTTTTCTATATTGTAAGTTTTTAAAAATAATAAAAAATAAAAATTAGTAATATAAAATTTGTAATATGCATTTATAAAGTTGTGATTTTATTGCAGATTTCAAATAAAATGAGTTATAGCTAAATATATATTAGTAATAAATGTAAACTGAAATATAGTATGAATTTGATTCAAGCTGCAACATACTGTAAATGAAGTAATATTCAGAAAACTATTCAGTTGATTTTAGCCAGATTTCAGCCATAATTTGGCCAAAATTTCCTATATAATTTTGATTAAAATAGACTGATTAGTAAGCTAAACTTTGGTTAAAATTCCAAGCTGAATTTTAGGTAAATAGTAGTAAATTGCAGCCAAAAAATTGGCTAAAGTTCAACTAGCATTAGAATCACAAATTAGCTTAAAATCAGCTGGCTGAACTTTGGCCGATTTGAACTATTTGAACTAGTGTATAATTATTAAAGTTAAAGAATTTTGCAGAATTTTGCAAAAAAAAAGACAAAAAGTAAAGATTTGCTATTTTGCAGAACTTTTATACAAGACTGGTTTGTTTTAAATTTCCTGTTAAATAAAATTTTGCAAAATTGCTAATTTTATAAATAAAAATATTCAATTATCTGTGAAGTTGTAAAATTTGCAGAATTTTGCAGAAATGCACAAAAAAATAACAAAAAAAAGCAGAGATCTGCTAATTTTGCAGATTTCTGCAATTTTACATCCCATAAACTTTCCTGATAAAATGTATAGTAGTGGTTAATAAAAAAAACTAAAAAGTTTCAAAATTTACAAAACTTACTTTTTGAAGTTTAATATCTAATTTCAAAATTAATTCCTTTATATAGTAAAATAATAATAACTGCAACAGTACTGAATCAACAGTCTCAGCAGCCTCAACCTGCTCAATCTGTTCAACCTTTAAATGCGAATAGCACAAATAACTTGAATCCCAACAACAATGACTTAATAGCGCTTTTAGACTGCTTTTAGTACAACAATTATTAGCCCAAAATAGTACCAATGGTACTACAAAAAAAAATGTTTATTAATCTTTTTTTAATAGTTTCAAAAAATCTTTTTGAAATTTCTTATAAAATTTAGTATCCAATTTCGTAGTATTTTTTGCTAACAACCTAAAATTTTATAAATGTATTGTAAAATTATTGTCACAATAAATTGTATACAAACTATGATAAGATACTTGTTATTGGGTTTGTAGGGACATCGTACAATATGCTTTTATTACAAAATTTGATATTAATTTATTGATATGTAGTAAGATTGATTACAAAAATATATAGTAGCAAACCGTTGTAAAATTAATTATAAAATGGAAATTGTAAATAGATCGTAAGATAAATATTAAAAATTTATTATAAAACGATTTGTTATACATGTATTGTAAATTTAAATAATAAAAATAAAGGTGAATTTATTCCTCACCCCGGGTAAGACTAATTATTCCTCACCCTGTCACGTGATATATATAATTATTATAATATACAAATAAAATTAAATAAAAACATTAATTGTAAAAGCAAATAATTTTATTTTATCTTAAAGACGCAGGTTCAATTCCTGCACTGTGCCTTTTAATTTTTTATTTTGTTATTTGTGTCATACGTGCTATTTGCCATTCATGTTTGAGTTATTTAATTTGTATTATGTGATGTTTCATGATGATTCGCATGATGCTTTGCGTGGTGAAACTAAAATCTTTAATCTAGATATTCGTGTAAGTCATAATGCTAACAGTACAGAACATTTATCTTACAAATACAATAATTTCAAGAGTTAAAAATCACTTTATTGTTGTACATAAAATGACTACTTTGAAGGACAAGTGCTACGATAATGTTCATTTCCTCCACATAAACTACACTTGCGACCCCATCAGTTGCTTCACTTTTACTTTTACTTTTCAATTCAGTGGATGATTTAAAACGTTTTCCAGGTGGTCTTCCCTTTGGTTGATGTTTTAATGAATCTAAAACTTGATTAGATTCAATTAGTACTCCATTTGGCCTACAAATAACTTGATTGTCATTTTCTGCTAATCAATTTGCTAAAGCTCTTTGTTGCTTAACTGATTCCGCCTGAATGTATTGAGTTTTTTTCCTTTTATTATACTCCTTTATAAGTTTGATTAATTCTTCATCATCATCACAAATTGCAAACTGAATGGCTTTTTTTGCTTCACCCATTAAAATGCCATATTTCAGTTGTTTTCGCGTTATTTGTTTGGAGTATTCTTCTGAAAGATCATTTATAGTATACTTTCTGGTAAATTCAAAGGTGCTACTATAATTAAAATTTCTGTTGCCTATAACCTTTTCATTAAAATAACCCTCACTTAAACTAATATATTCATCTTTATACCAACGGCAAGGTATCAATGTTAAATGAAAACGTGCTTTGGATGATTTAACAAATACTTTAAAAAAATGCCGACACACAATACCATGAGTGATGAGCATAAAACAAGTACATAAATGCTCACCAGTACTAAGAAGAATCACGAATTGGTAGGTCTTTGGATAATTATATCTAGAAATCTTCCATATCTCAATGATATCATCAATATTAACCATTGCCATTAGTGATTGCAAGTCCAGTTCCCTATCTTCATCTATTTCGGCAAAAGTTTCAGCAGAGTCTTCTCCATCAAAGATTGGCTTAAATGAATCATCATCCAATGTTAGAGCTTCTGCAATTGATACTTGATGCATGAAATAACACACAGATTGGCACATCTGTTTATAATGTGCATCATGAATAGGCTGAGTAAGATACTTCTTCATAATGCTGTCAATGCCACTAAAAAACGTTTGAATGATAAGTGACTGTGTATATTGTAATGTTGAAGTTTTCCAAATAGAATAACGCGTATTAATAGATTCAAATTCAAGCCGATTCTCAATAGCTTCCTGAGCTTGCAAGAGAAAAAAGCTTGACTGTATAGCTTTTTTAATTAATGCATTTTCTGATTCAACACGCTATGTAGATTGTGTTCCTGCTGTAAAATGAAATAATGTAAAGCATTTTACCCAGGTATGCTTTCGATTTAATAGTACTGTAGATATATATCTTTCTACTGCAGCATATTTTTCAACTAGATTTTGAGATATTTACTCAAATACTTTTTCACAGTAGGAACGTTGAACTGCCCTAAAATCTTTAAGAAATTCTTGATAAAGTGACGAACCTAAACATGAACGAAGGTTTTTTGGAAGGTTCTGATAAAGATGAAATAGACATTGCATATGATGGGCTTCAGGAAATACTGTGGAAACAGCTGCAATCATCGCAGAATCTCCATCAGTAACAAAGGTTAATAGAGAAATTTTACACGCTTCAAGACAGCATCGAAGTAGCCATTCGTACGATTCCTGTCTTTCATCTTGCAAGAACGCCTGAGCAGCTAATCTACTCTTGTTGTAGTTATCGATTAAAATGAAAAGACTTAACGGATAATTATACTTGTTGGTCTTTGCGGTATTATCGTGAATGATGATATCATAAAACTTGATCCATCTTTCGCGTTGCTCTGGTAACATCCAGAAAATACTGATCAGACGATTACTTGTATCATCTAATAATAGCTTTACAAACCACGCAGGATTATTAGCTTGTAAATCAAAAAGCTTCAATAATAAAAAAGCTGCATCGTCCAGGCTTATTCCATTTTCCCATTTAATCTTTTGGATAGCATTTCCAAGATCTTGAATAAGGAATACATGGTCAGGATACTTGGGTTGCAAAAGATTTCTAACTATTGACGCGTCACATCTATCATGTATAACATAAAACTCAATTTGATCCATTATTTCTTCAGGAAAAGTTCTATAAGTAGGAGCAAATTGCAAAGTTTCGGTAGAAATTTTGTGATTGTGCTCAGAATGAAATTGTGTTACAGTTACTATTGATGAATTTGACGGTCGCGTTATATTTATCTGCCACTTACACCCTTGCTTCTTGCTTCCCTTCATCGTCATTTTATCTGATGTTGGCCTTGAAAGTTTTTGAGTATACCTTCCTCCTAAATTACACTTAAGTACCTTCTTTCTACAAGTACCATCCAAAAACTTTTCACTTTTATGCTTAAAAATGGCAAAATTATTCTGAAGAGTGAATTGTTCTATATAGTGAATTGCTATTGTCATAGAATAAAAGCTAGTTCCCACCTCAAGCTTGATCGGGGTGTTAATTAAAGGTAAACTTCTTACGCAATCTTTAAAATTAAAACCTAAAATATTTTCAGCAAATAGCGTAGTACTTTCGTTATCTTCATTATTATCATGATTATCATAATTGGAGGATTCAATGGGTGGTATAACCTCAGAAATCATGATTAGAGAGCATAAAAGTAAAAAAAACACGACGTGAATATGACTTTACTAACCGTGTGAATACAAAGAAAATGCGTTATACGTGTTATATCTGCTGCACCAATGACCTGCGATACATGTAGCATGATGCTATAAATAAAAAAAAAATTAAAGCCTGGCGCAGGAATTGAACCCGCGTTCTCTAAGGTAAAATTTTTATTTATTTATAGATAGTAAGGAGCGCGTTTTAACCAATTAAATTATTTATAATAATTATATTAATATAATATTATCATGTGACTGGGTGAGAAATCACCTGGGTGAAAAATAAATTTTCTCTAAAAATAAATTGTATAATTAATTATAAGATATATATGTGTGTAATGAATAGGAATAAGGCAATTTAAGAATTATAAACTCTCGTAGCCACGCTCAATTAAGGCAATATATTACTAGACCTATTCTAAAGATAACTTTAGCAAGGCTTTCTTTATAAATTAAAGAAATTTCATACACCTTGCCAGCTGGTGAGAAAGCCTATGATTTTAACCCAAATCCCCAAATCCCAAATCCCCAAACATCTAGAGACCTGGATCATCTAAAAAAAAGAAAAAATTGAAATGTTATAAAATATTTCATTGAAATGCATAATTAGAACAGAGTCTCACCAAATTTTCCATGCGTTCAAGCCAACCAACTGAAAAGGAAAGATGATGAATGTTAGTGACTATTCGCTAAAAGAAAAAATTTAAAGAAAAAAGTTAAATAACTTACAAAATTCGCATCTAAAGGAGCCAATTGTCTAAAAAAAAGAAAAAAAAAAGTTAGTATTTGTGTAACTTAGTAAAAAAAATATATCTTACCAAAATTCTGCATCTAAACATTACATTCAAAGAACTAAAGATCTATTTCATTAATAGGTTAGCATTTCATTAAAATTAAACACACTGTAATCTGCATCTCTAACGATATCCAAAGAAGAAGCCATCTAAAAAAGAGAAAAAACAAAATGTTAGCAAACGTTTTGTTAAAAAAATAATTAAAAAATAATCATTTTCTACCAAATTCCCACACGTCCAAGAATTAAGCCATCTAAAAAAAGGAAATCGAAATGTCAGTATTATGTTTTAATAAAAATAATTCAGTACTAAAAAAAATTGAATATCATTTTTTTTTATAACTTCAATAAAAATATATACAAAACCGTAAAATAATATCTTGTTATCAATATTTTTAATATACTCTAAATTTTTAAACACATGTTTAATTGCTAAACTTTTGTTAAGAAAGAAAAAGCTTGTAGGAAAATATCAAGTCTTAAAGAAATCCATCTAAAAAAAGTAAAAATTGAAATGTTAGTAAATGGTTTGTTAAAAGAATAATTTAAAAGAAAAATAAAATTCCTACCAAAATCCTATAAATTAGCCTAAAGACCAAAGACTGCATACCTAGTTGTCTAAAAAAAAAAAAGAAAAAAAGAACTAAGAAACTATTCAATAAAAACAATTGAAGAAAAAAAAAATATGAACTTACTGAAATGTAATGTCAGGAAGATTGAGAGAACTACTTAAATATAAAGAATATTTAAATGGAAAGTACAGGAAAAAAGGACAGGAAGAGGAAAAGAAAGGACAAAGGAAAGGATAAAAGAAAAGGAAACGAAATATGATAAAATGATAAACAATTTGAAATTAAAGGTACAGTGGTAAAAGTTAAAAAAAAAAGTTGTTCATCATATTTATTAATTTTAATTACATGATACATGTGAAATATGGCCGATATTAACTAGTTCTCCTTACCGAATTCTCACACGTTCAGATACCAGAAGACTGGTCATTTACAAAAAGAAGGAAAAAGTAAAACGTTAAAATTATTTCGTTTGAAAGAGTTATTTATATTAATTCCCTTACTGACTTTTCCACATATCCAAGTATTTCAAGGAACCAATCATCTGCAAAACAAAATAAATGATCGTTTTGTTAAAAAAATAAAAATAAAAATCTCTTCACAGAATTTTTCATGCATCCAAGTATCTTAAAGAATTAATCATCTACAAAAATGAAAAAATTGAAATGTTAGAAATGTCTCATTTAAAGAAATAAATTTAAAATAAATAATTCTTATAATCTCCTACTAAATACTACGTGTCTAAAAAAAAAGTAAAATCAAAATGTTAAAAAAGAATATTTTCTAATTTTACTACTATGCGTTCTAAAGATCTCAACTAAAAAAAATTTTAAGTCCTTCTACTAAAATTTCATGTGTTCAAAGGCCTGGCATTTTGTATTGTAAAATAAATAATTATGAAAAAATCTTTCTACCATATTCCTATATGTTTAAGTATTCATAGAACCAAACCATCTAAAAAAATTAAGAAACAAGCCATTAAAAATCGTTCATTAAAATAAAACAAAAAAAATAAATCTTAACAAACTTACCAAAATGTCGCATCCAGGAACTGTAAAAAAAAAATCAAAAAATAGAAACATTTCATTATCTTGCATGATGTGCTTTTCAACCTTTTTTTAAATTAAGTACAAGTAGAAGGAAAATAGAAAATAATAAGGAAATAGAGAAATAGAAATAGGAGAAATGGAAAAAAAGAAAAGGGAAAATTTTTGCTGAAAAAATAAAATATAACCAATTAATAGATAAGCTTTGTTAAAATAAATAAAAAGAAGTTAAAAAAGCTTAAAAAAAGATCTGCAAACTGAAAAAAAATAGAAAATAGTGTAGAAATAATTATTTATTTTTTTTTTACTTTTTTTTTATGAATATATAATGATATAATATATTGTTAAAATAGAAATGTAGCGCAGTAATTTTATGTAGATCAATTTTGTAGATCATTTTGTAGATCCCTTGATTTTTTCAATTTTCTTGATTTTCTTAATTTATTTGATAAATCTGATAAATCTGATAAATTTGATATATTTGATATTTTGATTTATTTATTTTATTAATTTTATTAATTTTATTTGTTATATTTGATTAGAGCTCCGATCGGTTCAGTTCAGTACAGTTTTTGCCAAAACCAAAACTGACCGGTAAATACCGAAAACTGAACCGATTTACCGATTCATTATCAGTTCAGTTTTTAACGTTTTCGCAACGTTTTTTATTAAAAAACGTGCGAAAATGTTTTTTTTAATTAAATTAACTAATAAAAACGTTTCGCAACATTTTTATTAAATTATTGAAAAAAAAATGTTGCGAAACATTTTTTAATTAAATTAACTAATAAAAAATGTTTCGCAACGTTTTCTATTAAGTTATGAAAAAAAACTGCGAAACGTTTTTTTTTAAATAAATTAACAAATAAAAACATTTCGCAACGTTTTTATTAAATTATCAAAAAAATGTTGTGAACCGTTTTTTTTAAAATAAATTAACAAATAAAAACATTTCGCAACGTTTTTATTAAA